CACGGCATGATTCTCTTGAGTCTCGTGTTGATAGGCGTTTAGGCCAACTCTTTGAAGTTGTGACTAAAAACAGACATGATTTTGATGTTTTCGGGGATAAAAATCTACGTGATATGAATGAAATCAGGGAGCTCTTGGGTAGACCAGTAACGCAACCTAGGGATTTGCCGCTAAACGGTGAAAACAATTTAAACAGCGAAACTGGTTTTCCAAACAACAGTGCTCGAATTAGTCCGCCAAGACAAGGAGCTTCGCCGACGCCGGTGATGAACCCACCAACTCCGCGAGTTAATCTTGGCGAGACTAGCACTGCCGCTCACACTCGGGTTGAACCACCGCCGTTTCACGGTGTGGGTCCACAAAACATTCCGGAGGCCAGACCTTACGTGGCTCCGATGAGCGGTGCTGGTGGTGGAGGAACGATCAACAATGATCATGTTCCGCCACGCGGCTACCCACAAAACGTGCCTCCTCCTCCAAACGGGCTTGGCATGGATCCTGGTGGATTCGTACCACAAGGGGGGCAACTCGGGGGGCAAGACGTTAATGCGATTCGAGATCAAGTAGCACAGATGCTGGCGGATCAGTTTGGTTTAGGGATTAGACCAGCGATGCCGCCGGTGTATCGAAAACCATATCCGGATTGGGTTGATAGATACTACCCCTTTCCACGTGGTTTTCGCGTGCCTGATTTCATCACCTTCAGCGGGACTGGGGATCAGTCCACCGTCGAGCATGTTGGACGATTCACGGTTCAGTGTGGTGATGTGAGTGATTTCTTGAAGTTGCGTTTGTTTGGCAACTCGTTGACCGGCCCTGCATTCGCGTGGTACGTCAACTTGCCATCGAACTCGGTTCAAACTTGGCAGCAAATGGAACAAATGTTCCATGCTCAGTTCTACCGTTCCGAGCCAGAAGTAACAATGGCAGATTTGGCACGAATGCGCCAACAGCCAGGAGAAACAGTAGAACACTTTTTAACAAACTTTAAAAATGCAAGAAATCGCTGTTTTGTGAACTTGACAGAACGCGAGTTTGTTAAACTGGCCCAGGGTGGATTGAATTTTGAACTTCGTAAAAAGTTTCAAGATAGGGAGTTTTCTGATTTGTTTCAATTGATGTCCTGCGCTGTTAGATATGAATCTCTTCTCCATGAAGAAGAACATAAGAGAAGTGGCTCTCGTGGACAATATTTCCCTAATTTTGAAAACTATGGTGTGAATAACGTCGGCAGCGATGTTGACGAGGTTGAAGTTGATTTGGCCGAGATTGTGCAGGGGAAGCCATATGTGTGTGCTTCTCTAGCCAAGGCCGATGGGGAACCACAAGGTGGAAAGCCAAATTGTGCTCCAATTCAAACTAGGAAATACTCCTTTGATGTTTCAAAATCAGAACTGATTTTCGACCAGCTTTACAAAGATGGTGAAATTAAGTTGACTGGGGGGCATACTATCCCGCCAGCTGAAAGATTAAAAGGGAAACGATATTGTAAATGGCATAACAGTGCATCTCATTCAACTAACATGTGTGTTGTGTTTCGCAACGTTGTGCAGGATGCAATTGAGAAAGGTCGGTTCAAGGTACCGGAGCCGAGGAAGAAGGCCATGATTGTTGACACTGACCCGTTTCCCCACGGTGTGGGCGTCAATATGGTCAACGTTGTGGGGGGCAACATTGTCGAAGCTATTTTGTACCACAAAGACCTTGGTTCTCAAAAAATTAGGAGTATGGAAGGGGGACCATGCAACGTCGCAGTTTCAAGCACACAGGTGTTGGGTAAGGCGTGCTTGAACTCGTTGTCCAAGATTGTGAGACCATCAATGCTTGCATTAGGTGGTCCACCAAAATCTGAGTAAGCCACCTCAAGAGAGGGTGGCGAAGGCCGAAATTACGGCCTTGCTAGAGGGTTGCCGATCAACGGCGATGATTCGATAACTAGGTGGGAAAGGAAGCACTGTTGCCGACATTGTAGAAGAAATCTACCTTGGCGCGAAGGAGGATCCACGTTCAACTTTCATAGTACCATCTTGCATGAATCTGACAGGTACGAGTTAACTTTGCTTCTGATTGGCTTCAAAGATTGTGTTACGTGTGAATGTCATGAAATATTGCATGTGCATGTTGCAGTCTTGCTAGCTAGACAATTTATTGATTTTTATCTCAGATTGTCAAATAAGTGAAGTACTGAGCTACGTAGACGCTAACGGCGTTGTACCAACATGATCATGGCCGTTGGAGTTTAGTGGGGGTTTGCCATGCTATGTATGTGATTTTTTTTTCTTTTGACCAAAATTGGTAAAATTTGGTGTGTTGTTTAACTAACCATTACGTCGACAAAGTAGAACTTATGTTTTACTTCTTTGTTTTATCGACGATGGTTAAATAAGAAGGGATTAAAGACCAATCATGGTCGTTTTCATCTATGTTGGAAAAGGGTGTTGCAGTGTGGTTTTATGGTCCTCGTGCTAAAACAACTCTACGTGCCGACCAGTCTAGAGCGCCGTCGTTTCTGAGCAGAACAAAATCATTTGAATGAAACCATGTTGCGAAGTGGTTTTTAATGGTGCGGTAAACGGAAAAAAATGAATATGGCCATTCGGGCCAAAGTTGCGCTGCGGTGTATCGAGGTCGTTTTTCTTTTCTACAGCGTCGTTGGGATTGTGGGGCTATGCTAGGATAAAGTAGAAGACCAACCTCGTTGGTTTTAAATAAATAATTAAATAAATAAAACGTGGCCATTCAACTCGATGCGGCCTTGCGAGGTTTTGCTTGCGGTTGTGTTTCAAATCGTGAGAAGGAACAGCGCCGCGAGGCTGAACAACCGGCCGCAATAAATTCGCAGCGTGTCCCGTTTCCTAAACACCCTTGCACTGTTGTAACAACGTGTTTGGAATCACAGGGTTGAGAAAAGATATAATAATAAGCCAAATGTATTGGTTTTAAATAATAATAATAAAAAAAGACAACATTGCATGATCAGGCAGCCATGAGGTGTTCTAATTCTACATGGAGTGGTTTTTGACAAATGGCTTTCCTTGCGTTGGACAAGGGTAATGAGATATTTGGTTGAACAGGGAAAGTTACATAAGGACGAGGCCTCAATGTTGCTTTGTCCAATTATTAACCGGATCGATTCAGCAGTGTTGTTAAGAGAACAACGTTGTTTCACGGCCAATATTGATTTTTCATTCCTTTGGAGATAATTTCAGGTGAGTTAAATTGTGTCAACAATTTGGTTCATAATTCTTATAAACCAAATTGTGGGGGGCATTTGTTGACACCTAAAATTAATTTGGGCTGAATTAAATGCCGCATTAATTAGTCTCGGCATTTAATTCGATACCGCGGGTTAAAGAACGGTGTCGTTTGAAGTTGAGCGGTGTCGCGGAGAGTTAAAACGGTACCGCGAAACAGAAAAACGGTACCGCGAAACAAAAAACGGTATCGCGAGTAAACCCAGCGGTACCGCAACACTGGAAACGATACCGAAGAATAAAAAAGGGGCCGCACGTGTGGTTTCTTGTTGGAGAAGGAGTTTTGTTTATAATTAATTAATATTTTTATTCCTTGTTGGAGGAGGAAAATCGGTACCGCATGGAGGCAAGCGGTACCGCGGAGAGTTAAAACGGTGCCGCGAGAGCCTGGCAAGCGGTACCGATGGGCAAGTGACCAAAATTCACCCGGCCCAATGCGAGCGCCGACTGCGGCGTTTCCATGGATTAATATTTTTGACTATATCGGCGGTGTCGTTTAATTCAAAACGGTACCGCGAGTAAGCCCAACGGTACCGCGGATTAGCAAACGACAGTGTTTAAGTAAGAAACAATGTCGCAAAAGGGAAAAACAAACGGAGTTGTTGTGGCGCAGGTGATGTCGTTGGCTATAGTTAGTGATGACCAGATTAATTAACTAATATTGTTAATGATTATTTAGGACGGTGTCGTTAGTTGAAAACGATGCCGCAAGAGGAAAGAAACGACACCGCGGATTACAAAACAATACCGCGAGTAGGCCAAACGATGCCGCAGATAAAACGACAGTGTTAAAATTAAAACAGTGTCGCGAAGCTCAAAAGTTCAACGACATCGCGGGACGAGGAAACGATGTTGTTTAACTGAGAACGACGCCGAGTTAACAATGAGGGCTGGTTTAATTAAGTAGTATTTTATTATTATTTTAGACGGTGTCGTTTAATGAAAAGCAATGCCGCGAAAAAGTAAAACGACATCGCAGTAGTGATAAAAGTTTGGCCGGCCAAAGGCAACCCGCCAAGCCCAACGATGGCGCAAGAGTATAGAACGACATTGTTTGACGGACTAACAATGTCGTTGGTTAAACCGGTTCGGGGCAGTTGAGTCGGATTATAAAACGACACCGGTTGATGAAAGGCGATGCCGTGGTGTTGGTGAAACGGCATCGTTACATGGACAAGGTTGTAGGTCGTTTCGCCGAGTTTCTGCAAAGCAAGAGCGGTTTCGAGGGCACGTGACTATCACGCAACAAAGAGGAAGTTACCTGCACGGTTGACAAGAGTGAAGACGTGGGAGACAAAGGCGCGAAGGCAGTTACTACGACGAAGAGAAGCGCGAAGTATAAAGATTTGGAAGAGAGAGAAGTTCGGGAGGGCAAAATCAAATCACAACTGCACCATTGCAGAATTATCCTTTTTCTCTCTAGTTTCGTAGAACCGCTCTGTCAAAGAACTCCTTTGCAGAGTCGTAGATCGTAGCTTGTAGTCGTAGTCGCGGAGCTCTCCAGAGGAACCTCCATAGGAGTAGAGGTAACGTAACTTAGAACACTCCTGGTTCGATTTTCTGTTTATTCGAACACCCTCGTTCGAACGTAGTTTGGAGAGGTGTTGAACCGAATAACAGTTGTTTGATTAGAAGTCAAAGGTGTATCGATCAAATCAACGACGCCGACACCGGCGGCGGCCATTTGACGATAGTCTTTGTTTCTGTTTTAATCGATCAAATCAACGGCGCCGACACCGGCGGCGGATATTTGACGATCTTTTGCTGATTTTGTGTGTTTGTGTTTACTTGAAACCAGTGCACATTGAACACGCGAGTTTCGCCAACGAAACAGTACTACTAATCACCATCCTCGTAATCATCATCATCCAAACCCAAAAACCCAGAACCACCTCGAAACCCACTAATCGTCCACCGCCGCCGCCGCCGCCGGGGCCATGGAAGCTCCCGGTCATCGGAAACCTCCACCAGCTGGTCACCGACGGCGGAGCAAGCCAGCTCCACCGCCGCCTCGCCGAGCTGGCGAGGCGGTACGGCCCCGACGTCATGCACCTCCAGCTCGGGGAGCTGTCCCACGTCATCATCTCAACCCCCGAGGCCGCCAGGCTGGTGATGAAGACCCACGACACGACGTTCGCCTCCCGGCCGTTCCTCTTCGCGACTAGCATCATGTTCGGCGGCAGGGAAAACGACATCGCTTTCGCCCCCTACGGCGAGCAGTAGCGCCAGATGCGCAAGATCTGCACGCTGGAGCTCTTCAGCGCCAAGCGGGTCGGGTCGTTTCGCTGGATCAGGGAACAAGAGGTGGCCAACCTGGTCAAGACGCTTCGAACCGCTGCCCACCAAGGTTAATTATAATTACCAACCAATGAATTTAAAACACGTCAACTCTCTCTCTCTCTCTCCCTCTCTCAGTTAAGCAAGGTTGTCAACCCGCGGGTCGACCCGGACCCGATCGAGCTAGTGGGTCAAGGGTTAATGGGTCAACCGTTTTAGTCCGGTTTGGCCCGAAAATATAGAAAGAGTCATTATATTGCACTTATCCTCATAAATTATATCAAATCTTATCTAACATATGAGTTCTAACATATAATATTACACCAAAATAACATATCGTACTTAGATCCAACATATAGTGAAAATTCACACACTTATATAACATAAATATTCAAATATTCAACTTAATATTCCAAAGATTGAGTTAAGCGAAAAGAAAAATTGAAAAATAGGCACATTTCGCAAACTAAAGAAAAAATGACACAATTTGACCTCCAACCCGGTACCTAGTAGCGGTCGGCCCGGCGGGTGCGTGCGGCCCGTTTTTCTCACCGGGTCAGGGTCAAATTGGGTCGACCCGTGGGTCAACCCGCGGGTTGACAACCTTGAGTTAAGTTTAGGTCAAGGTTGTCAAACCGGTTTATACCGTTGTGCCGGTTTGGCAAGTGGAATGGTACGATCGGTGGTATAACCAGTTTGTGTCGGTTCATGCCGGTTTAAAAAAGATTTGAAAATAATTAATATCCAATGTATTTAATCATATATAAAACATATTTGTGGACAATTTAGTTAGAATCCAACAAATATCATCAACTTTTAACTATTAAATTCATAAAAATGTATAATAAATTAGTTTTTTTATTAATTAAATTCATTAAAATGATGTCATTTTGCTTAGAATGCGTAAGTCGATCACACCGGTGATGTCATGTCGGTTTCATGATCGGCACAGGTTGAACCGGGTAGCATGCCACCGGCATTACAACCATGGTTTAATTAGGTTCCAAAAATATTTGTTGTTTCTAACATGATGCGTCGTCGTCCTCGTGTGATTTATGATAATGCAGGCGAACCGACGGTGGATCTCACCGACCTGGCGCATAAGCTATCGGGGTCCGTGACATCCAAGTCGGCCTTCGGGTCGATTCTTCGAGGCATGGACGAAACGTTTCTCGAGGTTGCTCAGAACTTTGGGGATGTTACTGCGGGTTTCAGAACCTCGGACTTATATCCTTCTCTTACATTCCTTCCCGCCCTTACTGGATTCAAAGACAAACTCGAGAAGATGCGTCTAGAAGCCGATTCCATATTCGACGCCATTATAGATGAGAGGAGATCTCAGAGATCTTCAATGTCTAGCAGTAGTGATGGCGAAGTAGTGGAAGACTATCTTCTAGATGTTCTTCTGAATCTTCATGAAAACCCAAGTCGGCTTGGATACCCGTTAACCATGGAAGTCGTCAAAGCAGTCACTTTGGTTAGTATTATCATGGTCTTTGGATATTCCCTTTAATCACCATCATGTATGTTTTTCTACCTTTATCTTTGATTTCCTTTACAATGGCTCTGGTTTGTATAGGAACTTTTCATCGCCGGCATCGAAACTTCGGCCAAAGTGATCGAATGGACGATGTCAGAAATGATTAAACATCCAGAAGTGATGCGGAAAGCACAAACAGAAGTCAGGGAAGCATTCGGCGAGAAGGGCGGCGACGTCGAGGAAGCAAGCCTTCATCGATTGAAGTACTTGGACAATGTCATCAAAGAGAGCTTGAGATTGCACCCTCCGGGCCCTTTACTTCTTCCGAGAGAGAACCGCGAGAGCGTCGAACTATGTGGATACCACGTCCCCGCCAAGACCAAAGTGTTTGTGAATGCTTGGACGATCAATCGGGATCCTCGCTACTGGTCTGAAGCGGAGGCATTCTGTCCCGAGAGATTCGATGATCGTGTGATCGATTACAAAGGCAACGATTTCCAGTTCATTCCATTTGGTGCGGGGAGAAGGATATGTCCCGGATTTGATTTCGGAGTGGAAGTTGTGAAGCTGACTCTGGCCAATCTGATCTTTCATTTCAACTGGAAACTCCCCGGGGAGATGAGACCAGAGAGTCTTGATATGACTGAACGCTTGGGGGCATCTGTAGGGAGGGAATATGCTTTGTTGGTGATTCCAGTTCCATACCACGAAAATTGAACTTTTTCCCGTTGATTGTTGGTTTCAATGTGATAGATGTTCTCATTTTCACGGGAAATTGAATATTAAGTTTGTGCTTGCCTTATTTAATTTCCATGCCCTTACAATCTAAAGCCATGTTCAGTATTAGACAACAATATTTTTAAATCAGTCGTTTGCTTTTTCTCATTGTTTAAATTGATTTATTGTAATCAAAGGAACAACACGAGGTAGACCAAAAAATGGCTTTTCTAGCCACCAAATGGACTATCATATTGTTAACCATTACGAAGCGCCAACAAACATAGAACTTCCTCAAGAATGACCTCAGAGTAACTATCTCGCTTGTCTGCTAGGGTTATCTTATCAATGACCACTTTCTCATCCCCTCCAAAACAAAATTGCGAGAGACCTAGATCCAGACACCACTGGATGGCCTCCCGAAGGACCAGAAGGCCTACTAAGATTGGATCATCAATATTCCTCAACGTACATCCCTCTAGCCAATACAACAGATCCATTGGGGGCTTTCAATATCATCCCTCCCGTGAACTGGGGCCCACTCATTGTCGCACCGTCCCACATGTAAGTGACCGAAGTCGGATCATCCGAGCTCAATCCCAACACTTGGGGATTGGGATTACTCTGTCTGCTGGCAAACTGATCCATTCCTGGATTTGTTGATAATACTGCTGTATCAAGGTAGAAATCCGGAATTATCTATACAAAAAACACCAATTTGCTCATACAAATTATCTATACAAAAAATATCAATCTTGTATATACAAGCAAACCCATAAATTATCCACAAACACCAATCTATTAAAACTAAACATCCACAAAGAACACTATTTGTGTGAGTATGTCTATATGAGTGTGAGCGGGTATCCATGGATCGACTATACCAAAATTCGAATCCAATTGCATCCACCAAAATAAATAAATAAAAACAACCAAATTTTTGGACTTTATCACACGGTTAATGGATGGTCTGTGTATAAAAATGAAACGTATTATTATATGAGGTATATCTTAACCAAGTTGTCATTGTTGTATTTGATTGAATTAGTTATCCTAATAACTTTTAACTTTTCCCTTGTCAGATTCTCTTTGTTAATTAATCAACATACGCATACCAACTCCAACTTATAACCTTGTGGAGATTAGGTACGTCGTCTCATCTTCCACCTTTTATCACTATCATATTGATTAACATTCACTATCATATTGGTAATCGTATCAAACCTCACATGTAAATGTTATAAGATTGAGAATTGAACCTCTTCCAATAACTCAAATTATTGTGAGCAACCGATTCTTGACATGTGGCACGGTATCAGAGCCTTCTATGATCGAGAGATCTTCTATTCAAATACCCGATGACTCTCACATGTTCGATCTCTTAAGCACATGGTGTCCGGACCATGTGCAAACTTCAAACTCACATATAGTGACATTCGTTTGAAAGAAGTGCGTTAGTACATAGTATATGATCCCGAATCGAACCCCTCCCAACAACTACTGATTATCCATATATATATATAGCAAATAAAAAAAATCTCAAAAATTTCCATTTTCGTTCTCTATCAAGGTTGTCAACCCGCGGGTTGATCCGGACCCGGTCGAGCTAGTGGGTTAAGGGTTAATGGGTCAACCGTTTTAGCCCGGTTTGGCCCGGAAATATGGAAAATATCATTATATTGTACTTATCCTCATAAATTATATCAAATCTTATCTAACATATGAGTTATAACATATAATATTACACCAAAATAACATATCGTACTTAGATCCAACATATAATGAAAATTCACACACACTTATATAACATAAATATTCAAATGTTCAACTTAGGATTCCAAAGATTGAGTTGGGCGAAAAGAAAAATCGGAAAATAGGCGCATTTCGCAAATCAAAGGAAAAAATGATACAATTTGACCTCCAACCCGGTACCTTATAGCGGTCGGCCCGACGGGTGCGTGCGGCCCGTTTTTCTCATCGGGTCAGGGTCAAACTGGGTCGATGTTATTTGGGTTCGGGTTCTGGGCCTGGTCTGTAACCGTTTCCTTTGCTAGATTGGATTAGGTTTAGACCCACATGGAGAAGTACTATAAATACTTCTCATACTCCTCTGTAATCTGTAATCTCCTCAGATATAGTGAAACTGGCTCTCTCTCGCCCGTGGACTAGCTAACACACATCGTGTTAGTGAACCACGTAAATCGTGTGTCTGTGTCTTTCGATTCTCGCTCTCGTATTCTTGCTTTGTCGATTCCGGCGATTTCCCGATCCGTAGCAGCGCGTTTATAACAAGTGGTATCAGAGCCTGGTTGGAAATCAGGCTAGGGTTTTCGATTCAGAAGAATGACGTCGGTGAACATGAAGATCGAAAAGTTCACGGGGAAGAACAGCTTCGCTATATGGCAGATCAAGATGCAGGCTTTACTAAAACAGCAAGGGCTGTGGGGGCCGCTGTCTGCGAAACAGAAGAAGGCAGCGGTCGATGACGATGAGTGGAATACCCTGGAGGAGAAGGCCCACTCGACCATCATGCTATCGTTGTCTGATGACGTCATCATTGAAGTCGCTGCTGAGAAGACTGCCGCGGGCTTGTGGTTGAAACTTGAGAGTCTGTATATGACGAAGTCTCTAACCAACAAGCTGCATCTCAAGCAACGGTTGTTCAGCTTGAGGATGCAAGAAGGTACGCCTTTGAGGGAACATCTCGAACAACTTAACTCTATTTTGCTGGATCTGCGTAATATAGATGTTCAAGTTGATGACGAGGATGCTGCCCTAATCCTGCTGGTTTCTTTGCCGAGTTCATATGAGAATTTTGTTGATTCTTTTATTGCTGGTAAAGAAAGCGTGTCGTTGGAGGATGTCAGGTCTGCTCTTCATACGAGAGAGATCAGACATAAGGCGTCCGGATCTGGTACAGGTGGTGAGGCATCGGGTTTGGCTGTTACAGGTGGAAAGGGAAAGAAGAAATCTGGTAAAGGGAATTCGAGCAAGAATTCCAAGGGTCCCGGTCCACAGCCAGGTGATGCTTGTCACAACTGTAAGGAAGTGGGGCATTGGAAGTACAACTGTCCCAAGAGAAGAGGGCAACAGAAGAAACAAGGTTCAGTTGCCGTGGCAGAAGTGGACAACAGTTCTGAAGACGATCTCGCCTTGGCTGTAGATGAGAAGGCACATCGTGGTGATGTGTGGTTTCTGGATACTGCAGCCTCATATCATATGTCTCCGAACAGGGATTGCTTCACAACCTACGAGCAGATAGATGGTGGTAACGTGGTCATGGCAAATGGAGCTGTCTGCAAGGTTGTTGGAATCGGGTCCATAAAGGTTCGGATACATGATGGTTCGTTCTGTACCGTGAATGATGTCAGACATGTTCCACGAATGACGAAGAACCTGATCTCCTTGAGTCTACTCGACAGCAAGGACTTCAGCTTCAAAGGAAAAGGTGGAGTTGTGTATGTCTGCAAGGGTTCGAGGAAGGTACTGAAGGGCGTGAAGCGTGGGACCTTGTATGCATTACAAGGGTCTGTGTTGTCTGGTTCTGCTGCAGTTGCATCGTCTCAGGTTCAACAGGAGGATATGACCACTCTCTGGCACATGAGACTGGGGCATATGAGTGAACGAGGGATGCAAGTTCTATCAAAGAGGGATCTTCTTTGCGGGCACAAGGTTCAGAATTTGGAATTCTGTGAGCATTGTGTGTTTGGGAAGCTACATCGCAGCAAGTTTCCCAAGAAGGGTATCCACCGGACGAAGGGGATACTAGATTACCTCCACTCCGACTGTTGGGGTCCTTCACGAGTTGAATCCATTGGAGGCAGCAGGTATTTTCTGTCTATTATTGATGATTATTCGAGATTTACTTGGATTTTCATGATGAAGCAGAAAAGTGAAGCTTTCACGAAGTTCAAGCAGTGGAAGACATTGGTGGAGAATCAGACCGGGAAGAAGATCAAGAAGCTGCGAACGGACAATGGTCTGGAGTTCTGCAGTTCTGAGTTCAACGAATTCTGCAAGGATGAAGGGATTGCCCGTCATCGGACTGTTAGAGATACACCTCAGCAGAATGGCGTTGCAGAAAGGATGAATCAGACATTGTTGGAGAGAGCACGGTGCATGCTCTCTAATGCTGGACTAGAGAGAAGATTCTGGGCAGAAGCAGTAAACATGGCGTGCTTCCTGATCAACCGTGGACCACACACAGGTATCGAGTGTAAGACTCCTTATGAAGTGTGGTATAGTAAGCCTGCTGATTACTCTTCACTGAAAGTTTTTGGGTGTCCTGTTTATTATCATGTGGATGAGGGTAAACTGAACCCAAGGGCAAAGAAGGGTGTATTTGTGGGTTACGGAGATGGAGTTAAGGGATTTCGAGTCTGGTCACCTTCTGAGCATCGAGTTATACTTATTAGAAATGTGATATTTGATGAGAAGTCTATGTTTAACCCCATGTTGAAGGTTACTGTTGTTGAAGGTAGCAGGAATGTTGATAAACAGGTGGAGCTGCAAACTCTCAATGAGAGTGAGTTTGAGCACCAAGGTGGAGAAGATCAACATGATGAGGATGTCTCTGCAGAGCCAGAAACTTCAGAGTCCAGTGCACGAGCTCAACAGTCTATTACTTCCGGTAGACCGAAGAGAGCGACTGCAGGAGTACCTCCACAGAGGTATGGCTTCGAGGACATGGTGGCGTATTCATTTCAGGTTGCTGAGGAAGTGGATGCAGGAGAGCCACAGTCCTATAGAGAAGCAGTTTCGGGTGGTGAAGCCGATCAGTGGCTTGCCGCAATGGGAGATGAGATGGAATCCCATGACAGGAATCAGACTTGGGAGCTAGTCAAACGACCACAGGGAAGGAAGATTGTTACAAACAAGTGGATCTACAAGAAGAAGGAAGGAATCACTTCTAAAGAGGGCATGAAATTTAAAGCTCGGGTGGTTGCACGAGGCTTCTCGCAGAGGGAAGGAGTTGACTACAATGAGATTTTCTCACCAGTTGTCAGACATACTTCGATCAGAGTGCTACTAGCAATAGTGGCACATTATGACTTGGAGCTTGAGCAGCTAGACGTGAAGACAGCTTTCCTGCATGGAGAGTTGGAGGAAGAAATTTACATGACTCAGCCAGAAGGATTCGAGGTTCCAGGAAAAGAAGACTATGTTTGTAAGCTGAAGAAGTCCTTGTATGGACTTAAGCAATCTCCGAGGCAGTGGTACAAGAGATTTGACAGCTACATGCTTGAGCTGGGCTACAACAGAAGTCCATATGATTGTTGTGTATATCACAGCAAGGCAGAAGATGGTTCGATGATATATCTAGTTCTGTATGTGGATGATATGCTCATAGCTGCGAGGTCAAAGTCTGATATCCAGAAGTTAAAGGGGCTTCTCAGTGCTGAGTTTGAGATGAAGGATTTGGGAGCTGCTCAGAAGATCTTGGGTATGGAGATTTACAGGGACAGGTCGAAGAAGAAGCTTTTCTTGTCACAGAAGAGCTACATCCAGAAGATATTGTCGAGGTTTGGCATGTCTTCAGCAAAGCCCTTAAATACTCCTAGTGCTTCAAATGTTCATCTATCCTCAGCTTATGCACCGCAGTCAGAGGCTGAGAAGGAGTACATGTCGAGAGTCCCATATGCTAGTGCAGTAGGTAGCTTGATGTACGCTATGGTATGCACTAGACCTGATCTTGCACATGCTGTTAGTGTTGTCAGCAGGTTTATGATACAACCTGGGAAGGAGCATTGGCAGGCTGTGAAGAGGATCTTCCGGTACCTTAAGGGTACACCTGATGTGGGGATTAGCTTCGGAAGTGATACAGAGTGCTTGGTGTCTGGGTATTCTGACTCGGACTATGCTGGAGATGTTGACACGAGGAGATCGATGACTGGTTATGTATTCACTCTTGGGAGTTCTGTAGTGAGCTGGAAGGCAACTTTGCAGTCGGCGGTGACATTGTCTACTACTGAGGCAGAGTATATGGCGTTGACAGAAGCTGCTAAGGAGGGAATATGGTTGAAGGGACTGGTTGGTGATCTGGGTCTACATCATGATCAGGCAGTGGTGTATTGCGACAGTTTGAGTGCAATATGCTTGGCCAAGGATCAAGTCCACCATGAGAGGACTAAGCACATCGACGTGAGGTATCATTTCTTGGGGACAGAGAAGAGGATTAAGGTGAAGAATGTTGGCACCGCAGATAATCCTGCTGATATGTTCACGAAGCCGGTTCCACATGGCAAGTTCCAACACTGTTTGGACTTGCTGAATGTCTTGAGTGGGTGACTCCGCCCTGCGGGGCATTGATGGCGGGAGAGAGAGAAGGAGCAGAGTACATCAGAGATTTCAGAGGAAGAGGATTCAAGTCAAGGTGGAGATTTGTTGATATGACTTGAATCGGATTATCAGCCGCTACGACTGGTAACCGGGGGTCTCGCTGTTATTTGGGTTCGGGTTCTGGGCCTGGTCTGTAACCGTTTCCTTTGCTAGATTGGATTAGGTTTAGACCCACATGGAGAAGTACTATAAATACTTCTCATACTCCTCTGTAATCTGTAATCTCCTCAGATATAGTGAAACTGGCTCTCTCTCGCCCGTGGACTAGCTAACACACATCGTGTTAGTGAACCACGTAAATCGTGTGTCTGTGTCTTTCGATTCTCGCTCTCGTATTCTTGCTTTGTCGATTCCGGCGATTTCCCGATCCGTAGCAGCGCGTTTATAACATATGTAATATGTACTTATATCACCTGTCAATATAGTAAAACCGGTTACCGCTCCTGATCATGAACCAGTTAACACACATTATGTTAGTGAAATATAATACTGTAAACTAGTGTGTTCTTGATTTTCTTATTTTATCGGATTCGTAAAGTATACCAATCAACTATCCAGTAACCACGTAAATTTATGCATATATGAACCTTCTTGTTCCTCTGCATGTACACTCCACAATATACCGAAAACGTATTGAAGTTTTACATCAGATTGACATTATTCAATTGGAAACCTCCACCAGCTGGCCACGTACGGCGGCTCGATGCAGCCGCACCGCCGCATGGCCGAGCTGGCACGCCGCCACGGCGCCCCCGACGTCATGCGCCTCCAGCTCGGTGGGCTGTCCAACGTCATCATCTCCTCCCCTGAAGCCGCCAAACAGGTGATGCAAACCCACGACCTGACCTTCGCGTCCAGGCCTTTCCTCCTGGCGCCGGATCCGCAAGGTCTGCACCCTGTAGCTGCTCAGCGCCAGGCGGGTCCGGTCGTTCCGGTGGATCAGGGAACAGGAGGTGGACAAGCTCGTACAGGATCTCCTTTGTCGTCCCTGTGCCTCTTCAAACAACTCGAGTTATTGAGATCAACTGGTTTGTGACGCTGATGGTAATGGTCGTGTTGTGGATCTCGGTCGGATGGTGGGGGATCTATTGGGCTCGGTGATTTCTAGATCGGCGTTCGGGACGATCCAGGGGCTGAATCAGGCGTTGCTGACGGTTGCCGAGAACATTTCGGACATTCAGGCGGGTTTCAGAGTGTCGGACTTGTACCCTTCCCTTACCTTTCTTCCGGTTCTGTCTGGGTTCGAAGCGAAACTCGAAAGGATGCATCAAGGAGCGTGTTCTGTTCTCGACGCCATTATCGATGAGAGGCAATCGCGAAGATCATCCATGTCGAATAGCGAAAACGATGAAGAAGAAGAAGAAGAAGAATACCTTGTTGACGTTCTTTTGAGGCTGCAAGAACACCCCAATGAGCTTGGGTTCCCTATAACCACGGAAATGATAAAAGCAGTCACTTTGGTAAGTATGTTGAGCCAATTGATCAACCTACATCCCTTAATCACAAATCTCATTTCATCTCAACAATATGGCTTGTTAGGAACTATTCGTTGCTGGGATCGACACTTCGTCCAAACTAATCGAATGGACGATGTCAGAGATGATAAAACAGCCGAGGGTGATGCAGAAGGCGCAAGAAGAGGTCAGACGAGTCTTCGACGGGAAGGGCAACGTCGACGAAGCGAGCCTCCACCAGTTGAAGTACCTGGACTGTGTCATAAAAGAGAGTCTGAGATTGCACCCTCCGGCTCCTTTCCTCGTTCCACGAGAGAGCAGGGAGAGGGCACAACTCTGTGGGTACGAGATCCCCACAAAGACCATAGTCATCGTGAACGTATGGGCAATCTGTCGAGATCCTCTCTACTGGCTCGAACCGGAGAAGTTTTTCCCCGAGAGATTTGTCGATAGCTCCACCGACTACAAGGGGAGCGATTTCCAGTTATCCCGTTCGGTGCTGGAAGGAGGATGTGTCCCGGACACGGTTTCGCGACCGAGGTCGTGAAGCTTACCCTGGCGAATCTGCTGTTCCATTTCGGCTGGAGACTCCCCGGAGATACGAGTCCGGAGAGCCTCGACATGACGGAGACGTTTGGGGCGACGATTGGGAGAAAGCACCCTCTGCTCGTGATTCCAGTGCCATATGTACCGTAAGATGCAATGAAGAGCAAAGGGAGGGGAAACAAAAGGAATAAGTCAATGGACAATATGCTCTGTTCTGCTGTAGAAGAACTTAAACAGAATAATAGAACATATAGGCCTTTTTCCTTGCCGTTCTTTCCCTTTTCCTTGCCAAGACAAAGCTCGTTAGTGTAGAAAATGAAGACTGTATGTATCTCTGTACTTCTGGTGCATAGAGGGCTACGCAGAAACAACACCGAAATAAAAGAACAAAGGGAACACAAGCGTTCTTGGTAGCTGACTCTATTTTTACAAGGACGTACACATATGAATCTATTCTGAATCCTAACTGACTGAGTTACCCCCCAACAAAATTCGTTTCGTGAGTTACCACCACAAGCACCAATACGAAGAACAATACGAATCAGGAGTCACCACAATTACATTTCATTTACCTGAGAACCCCAATGCGAGTCTTGTATCAAGCTGAATGATTGAGGATTTAGACAGGTACTCTTCTGCCCCTGTATCGGTCGAAGAACTGCACACGCGATCGTAATAAGGAATGAGTTAGATTACTTTGTTAGAAATGAGACAAACATAGAGAATGCTAATGACAATACATCAAGAAGCGTAGTCTTTGTTACGATTGCAGTGAGTGCAGAAAGCGAGACAAAATTCTATAGCATTCTGAATGCCGACATATACTCAAATGTAGGTAAACTTCTTCAAATTAGATAACATGTGGGAGCTTATTAGAGGAAGGCTCTAAGCACAAGATGCACAGCAGAAATAACTAGTCAGCTAGAATCAGAGGTAGTTTTTCAGTAGACATATAATTAGATGGAAGCTCTGGTCATCAAAGTCAAGGGGACACGTGATTTACGGAAGTCAAAGCAAATCTACCTCAAACTCTTTATTAATGAGAAGGATTACACTTTTATGTGATTCTAATTTCTTTATTGTTCTACATTGGCCCTTATAAGTTGCAACCACTAAATAAAGCTTCTAACATCAAAGAAGCAAAATTTAGACCAAGTTATAGAAGATGAATCTAAATGTATGATTTATTATCTTATCAGTTATCACTATCAATGTTAAACCAATTTGGCATTGCACAATATAGATGCCCAAAATGAATGCAATGAAACGCCTTATCCTGAGTTTGAAGATCCAAGTAATGAGAATGGGATTCTATCACAGAAGCTAATAGAAAAGTGAGCTGAAATGTCTGCATTGAGAACAAAGCCACATACCGATCTGATTGCTGGTTGTTGGATTACCCAACCAAGAATTGGTATCCTCTGCAAGAAAACTGCAAGTGTTGGCCAGAAGCCACTGCACAAAGATTTCCATCAGCATCTTCAACAGTGTACAATTTTCAACTAAATCATCAATATAAACAGTGAAGTTACCTGAAGAGCACAACAAACCCATATGTCTCCAAAATCATACCAATGATGGGCCATCCTATCACGACAAAGAAGAAACCAGCACCGAATGAGATAGTCCCCTGCATGACCAGCAACCCAGAAAGCATTAGTGTAAAAAAAAGACAAACTGTTCACTTTGCTAGCTCATATAGTGATTGCATGGGAATTAACATAGTATAAGTAGTCATAAACAGCACCAAAATGAGGTTTAACTGTAATCAGACATTGCGGAAACAAATGAAACAAGAGAAAGAAAATTTCACCTTGTAGTTTTGTCGTTTCATGAAAAACTGCATGGTCGACTTCGGTCCAATAGTGAGACTCACTCCTGAGATGAAGAGGATCTGAATCAAAAAGCCCAGCAAACCAAGTCAATACTAAATATAAATCACACCGTGAGAAAGCAGAACAAAGGAAGATATTTGTAAGATAGAATGACATACATTCCCCATGGCAAGTAGTCCCTTGTCAAAGAAGAAGATGATTCCCAGAATGGAGAAAAAGATGCCAAATCCTGTCAATCCTAGCCCAATTTCTGTACCACCCAGTAAACTTCGGAATTAGATACACACAATTAGTGCACAATTGAAAGGGTTCACTTTCCCCTAATTTCTACAGCAGATACTGTCAAATGATTAGAGTTACTTAACCGATTCACTAGAAAGATGAATGGTTAACGCTATAGATAGCAAGTTCAAGCTGAAAATAGGTGGTTTTCCTTCCTTCGCCATTCTACAACATACACTACCTCTGTTCTTGTAAGCCTATCATGACTTCGAAGGATCACCATTTACATATCAAGCCAGAGAAATCTAAGTGGGAAACAAACAGGAGTTCAAATAAAGAAGCAAATCGTACAACAAACTGCTCTCCCGTTATCAATTGTACAACATATTTGAAGTCAGAGGTGCATGACCAACTACCCAATAGACGTGATATTGCTCTCTACAAGAAACCTAACAACTCAGTAGCCACACAACTTTGTAATCCTCCTCAATTCACAATAATCAACACTCAAAAGTTATTCAACTGGATAGCTGTGCATTCTAGCACGCTAAATAAAACACCAACTGCAGCACAGGAAGAAAAGGAAAAGAGAGAACGAAAGGTGTCACTCACTTTTGCGATCGTTCATCTCAAAGGAAACCATGGTGGCAACCGCAGGACAAACTCAGAAACTCGTCACGTTCACTGCACCGAACAAACGCAAGAAGCGAATTCAGCTATCGCAATACGGATCAGGAAACGATTCGGCACAATTTTTACCATCGCCGCACAGAAGATCTCGCAAGCAATCGGAAAAACTGCGAAACTACCTCGACAATTCCGGACGGCGGACCAGGAAGTAATGGCGCGCACGATGGAAGAAGATCTCGCCGCAGGACGAATTGGAGTCCGGAAAGCTTAGCACGGCGATCCGGATAGGAGCTGAACCGAGAACTGAAAAACAGCAAGGAATAGAATCAGGAGGATGAAGGAAGCGGCGAATCAGAGAGCCTCGACGACTCAGCCCTAAATTTGCAGCTCTCCGGCGGGAGTCGAACTAGTAGACGACGGCGGAGCGAACAAACAGAAAGCTGAGAGAGAGAGAGAAGCAGAGAGTACCAGAGAGACGCCGGCGGGGCTGCGCTGGATGCGGAGAGGGAAGCGGAGGAGAAATGGAATGGAGAGAGCGACGATGGAAAAAGGAAAAGGGAAATTGTCAGTTTAACAAATTGCAGAGAAATGCTTAGCGGGGAATTTGCCTGATAATTTCTTTCGTAATCAAATAGCAACCTGACATATATACGGGTGCCTATGATCCGGATACAAACGGGCCGGGTCGAGCTGGCCCGCTCCAAAGGGAGGTGACGTTGTCCAGCGAATGATAAGAGTGGAATTAGGAAATGCTCAGGAGCAAGAACAAAACGCGTTTTTCTAGCTTCTGGGTTGTTTCTTAGAAGTTCAATCACCAGATTTTAGAGGTTAAATAGACTTACTATACGATCTTTTACGCTTTGATCTTCGATATGCTCTCACAAACATCGATTTTACATGTAAAGCGTAAATTTTTCACTCGAAGCATGAAAGCACGATTATGATTGATAGTAACATCTTTCTCGCATTCATGAATACAACGATTTTTTTTTTTTTTTAGATAAGGGTGATTTATGTTATTTTTTGTAATTAGGTACTACTGAAGAGATTCGAACCTGAGACCTCCAGGTTCAAGGCTAGTAGTATTACCACTAGACCAATCCCTTGTTCGTTGAATACAACGATTTTTTACACTCAATCTGCAAGTTGGAGCAGGGTGTAGCCATTTAAGTGCTCAACAGAAGCACGGTAGCCGATTTCAGTTTCAACACATACATTATTATGGCAACAGAGGGAAGAGAAACCATACATGAGAAATATGGCTGAAAATCAATGTAGCGTAGATAACGAAAATGTCTTGTATAGCCACATCCCACATTTGCAGTAACGACTAAGGAACTATCTGGAGGAACGAACTCAGTGGTGACTACAATGAATCCACACCTCTAGAACAGTACTAAAAAGGTAAAAACCCGAGCTTTCATTTGATCCTACGAGGTTCAAAAGTAAACAAACCAGAAATGCAACAACGGCATTGTTTGCAACTAATACGACGATATCAAAATCCCATAACAGTAACAGAGCAAGACGACTCAAACACGACATCTAACTCTCGGTTGCCTCCCTCAAACGGCGGATGGTGCTCCTCACGGTCACAGCACTCGCAGTACTGTCACAGAACAAACACATGACAGATTAGAAATAACTCAGAAATGGATTATCTTATTAGACACAATTCAAAGAAGAGGGAGGGTAGTCTTTCTTACTTCATGGTGTAAGCGCCTCCAGCTTTCACCTTGCCACAGTCCTTGCATCCCCAGATACCAACAGCCTTTCTCTTGACAGCATCCTGGCAAACAAGCAGGCAGAAGCAATCCATCAATCCAATGTTCAAGCAACCAAGTAAAAGAAAACCCGCAATATCAATGATGAGAATAAGTAGACATTGAAAGATTACTACCTTGCCGCAGAACTCACAGAAGTACTTCCTGTGCTGGCTCACCTCCATCTTCTTGATCTGCTTCCTCAAACTAGCACCATATCGGGTGCCTGCATAAGAACAAGCACAGAAAGTTCAATCAACTACGGAAACCCATCAAAAAGAAAGAACAAACAACGCATAAACCATCATTCTAGGCACCAATGAGACTGAAAAATGCATCAAACCCATGATTAACATATCCCAGCCAACAAGACCCCACATTCGAAAACCTCCATTCGATTAAACTGATGCGGTATAACAAGTAGGTGAAATGAACGACGCAAAAAGAAGCACGAACATACCGTATTTGCCGACAATCCCAACCTTCTTGGTTCTCTTGGCCTGCAATACAAGAGAAAAGCAAAGGAACGATTCAGCTAACAGCAAACTAAATGACGGATGAAACCATACTTTCAGCTCGCCATCTGACGAAACAGACTACAACAAAGGAATTACACTCAACAGAAGCGCGCCCAAATCTCATCTAGCATTAGAACATAAATGGATCTCTCCACTCGACTACCAAACGATTGCTTTTGACACAAAGCAGCGGCCATAGAAGAACAGTACTCTAACAAAGATCGGTTCATACTGAATCGAATACATTTCTGTAGCAATCATACAGAAGCTAGAAGGAAGAGAGGAAAGAAGGATTACCATGGTAGATGGCGGCGAGAAAGCAGCTGAAAACCTAGGAAGCTTTCGCTGGAGTGGACAGTGGCGATTGGCGAGAGGAACAAACGGGGACGAAGAGCTAGGTTTAGTTATAGTAGTCCAGTTGAACTCTTCTGTGCGGGTTGAATTTCTGGGCTAAGATTTGGGCTTTTGTTCATTTGGAAGCCCAAGATTGTTAACTCTGATAGCCCATAAATTTCAATACATTTGGCGGTAGTTTATGGAGTTTGGGCTCGTACCACAAAAGCCCACATCTGTAAGAGTGCTTTCTTTTTCCCTCCCGGTTTCTCGAGAAACAAACGGGAAACCGGTGATGAGATTGCCCAACACATTTGCCGTCCGGTTCCTGTCGAGTGGAAGTCGAGCACCATGTTGCTCCAATGGCGGACTGAATTCGAGCTTTGAGGTGTTGTTGCGGTCGAAGCTATCATTTTCAACTTCCACCTTCAAGGAAGAGTTCGCTGATTGCCTGGATTCTCATGGTTCCACCTTAACAACCGTGTCCGCTGATTCTTCGACAGCTGAGCTTTTCTCCGGCGATCCTGGTCATCGCGCGTTCATCAATGCGAGTCCCATCGTCAATGCGCCCAATTCCTCGGCCATTTCATTCTCGAACCATATCTACAGCTTGACGAGGAGTAATCAGCACGGCGAGGCGATTCGCTTGTTCGCCGAATTGCTTTCTCAGGGGATTTCGCCGGACTGTTATGTACTGCCCAGCGTCGTCAAGGCGGCTGCTGGATTGTCTTCTTTGAAGACAGGGGTTCAAGTTCATTGCTTGGCGTTTGTCAATGGGCACCATTCGGATTCACTTCTTCTCTCGTCTTTGGTTCATTTCTACCTCAAGTGCGACAGAGTGATGGATGCCCGTAAGGTGTTTGATAGAATTCCTCGCCCGAATGTGGTGGCTTGTAGCGCTCTGCTCTCGACTTATGCGCGGAAGGGCTGCGTGGAAGAGACAAAAGAGCTGCTTAGAGAAACGGTGGAGATGGGACTTGAGCTGAATTCGGTATCTTGGAATGGGATGATTGCCGGGTTTAATCATAGCAGACAGTTTAAAGATTCGGTCTTGATGTTTCGAGATATGCATTCGGAAGGGTTTAAGCCTGATGGGACCAGCGTTTCCAGCGTGCTTCCAGCAGTTGGTGACTTGGAGATGTTACCCTGCGGGGTTCAGATTCATGGCTGTGTGATCAAGCAAGGTTTATCCCAAGATAACTGGGTCGTTAGCTCGCTTGTCGATATGTATGGGAAATGCGCACGTCCGAATGAGATGTCGAAAGTCTGCGAGGAGTTGCCTGAGATGGATGTTGGAGCTTGCAACGCATTGATCACAGGGCTATCCAGGACTGGCTGTGTTGAAGGTGCACTGAAAAAATTTAAACAATTCAAGAGACAAGGACTCAACCTGAATGTAGTTTCATGGACTTCAATGATAGCTAGCTGCTCACAGAATGGAAAAGACATGGAAGCTTTGGAACTCTTTAGAGAGATGCAGATGGAAGGAATCATGCCAAACTCTGTAACAATCCCATGCTTGCTTCCAGCTTGCGGGAACATTGCGACATTAATGCACGGTAAGGCAGCCCATTGCTTCTCTCTTAAAAACTGGATCTCAAACGATGTCTATGTCGGTACTGCATTGATCTACATGTATGCTAACTGCGGCAGAATACACTTGTCTCGACGTTGTTTCGATATGATGCTTAGGAGAAACCTGGTTTCCTGGAACGCATTGCTGGGTGGATACGCCATGCATGGAAAGTCCAAAGAAGCATTGGAAGTTTTTGACTTGATGCAGAAGAGTGGTCTGAAACCCGACTTCATCAGCTTTACTTCTGTTTTGTCTGCCTGCAGCCAAGGTGGGTTGACTGAGGAAGGTAAGTTCTACTTCGATAGCATGTCTAGAGATTATGGGATTGAACCAAGATTAGAGCACTATTCTTGCATGGTCAGCATTCTGGGCCGTGCTGGAAGGCTAGCCGAAGCATATACGATGGTGAAGCAGATGCCTATGGAACCTGATGGTTTGATATGGGGACCTTTGCTCAGTTCGTGCAGAGTTCATCACAATGTAGTCATAGGAGAAGTTGCAGCTCAAAAACTCTTCGAGCTAGAACCGAATAATCCTGGTAATTACGTTCTCTTATCCAACATCTACGCGTCTAAATCTATGTGGGTTGAGGTGAATTCGGTGAGGGAGTTGATGAAGAGCAAAGGTTTGAGGAAGAATCCCGGATGTAGTTGGATTGAGATCAAAAACAAAGTGCACATGCTACTGGCTGGTGATAAATCGCATCCTCAGATGCCCGAAATCACGAAGAAGTTGGGTGAACTGAGATTAGAGATGCAGAAGTCTGGTTACTTGCCGCATACAGACTTTGTGTTGCAGGATGTGGAGGAGCAGGATAAGGAGGAGATGTTGAGCGACCATAGCGAAAAATTGGCTGTTACTTTGGGACTTCTGAATACTAGTTCTGGGTTTCCACTTCAAGTGATTAAGAACCTCAGGATATGTGGAGACTGCCATGCTGTCATAAAGTTCATCTCTGAGTTCGAGGGCAGGGAGATTTTTGTCAGAGATACAAACCGGTTTCATCATTTCAAGGATGGAGCCTGCTCTTGCGGAGACTTGTGGTGATGTGCATTGAGTTGCTACTCGACCAAGTTAATCAAGTTCTTCCATCAGGAGGAACGGGCATACCTAAATCTCTAGAGCTGAAGACCAGAAGATTGGCTCGAGGATGGAATGAGATTTTCGAACACACAGAAGCTAGCATGTCCCAAGAGTAATGGGAGGCCCGAAATGCTGGTGTTAGACGGTGCCCAAAGGTTCGGACCGGAATGCAAGAATGGCAGGCTCGTGCCAATTTACCGTGGTGTGCCAACAAGTCGAAGTAAGCAGAGGCCCCTTATTGCTTGTACGATAAAACACAGAACCTGCTCCATTACTACTGGCTAGTGGCTACTGCTGATCTTAGAGGAACAATTGAGGTCTAGAGCAAAAGCTGTGGCCACTGGAGTTGCAGTGTGTTGTAGAAACCGAAACTAGCACTGTTGTTATTGAATTGTTATCATGAATATTGAATGCATTAACTTAACGATAATTATTTGTAAGCTTAAAGAACCTTGTAAACATTATAAACTGTCATTTGCCAGAGAAGACAATAACATATACATATACAACACTACAGCTTAAAAGGTCTGTTTTGACCTAATGGGTTAAAAAGTTGCCTGCGATCTGCTGTCTTCTTGAAGAAGCCAACATCAGATGAGAGGCTCTACAGCAATGTCAGAACACCTGAATTTCAGCAGATGAATATGCAGCATGGAGATAATAAAGAGGTTTTACACCAAATATGGCACTGGATAGGGAATGATTGGTTTGACAACTAAGCTGAGTATATCTAGATCAGGATACAAACAACTTGAACAGGGCCTTAATCAAGCTCCATTCCATCAATCAAATGAGTATAGGAATTGAAACCTCAATTTGTTAGCAAAACCAATATTTCGTATCTTGAAAGCGCATAAGCAGTCATTTATACGCAGTCAATCACCAATAACAAGGTAAACTACAACATTTCACTAATCCGAATTTCGATGGGTGGTCAGATTCTTTGGGACTTCTTAATTTCACGATCATAATTGTTATGCGAAGGAGCATCCTTGACAAAGCCGCCATGCTCGGTCATCTGCACCACTTCTTCTTTTCTTCTCCTTTTGTTGGGAGTGCTACACAAATCAAGTTTTAAGGAACTGGGATTAGAGAGACTGATTAAGTTGTGGTGAGAAGATATTCTGCCTTCTAGTGTTGGCAGCAGATTTTGGAGAGAAACCTGTTGATTGTGACACTTTCTGTGTTGGTGTACTCTGATGAGTTCTCCAATATCTTGATGCTTCCAGTGTTGGCAGGGATCAATGATCCATAGATGTGGAGTGTCTCTTCATTCATACTGAGTAAAATAATAAACACCAGAAGATCTTTCATATTCATCTAATTATCTAAGCATACTTATATAACTACGTAGTAAGAAAGTAAAAACAATGGAGGAATAGACTGATGATCATTCTACAAATTTCCTAATCTCAGGAGGGATTACTAGGTACTGATATAACGCGAATACTTAATATCAGCAGATTTTTGGATAGTAAGAACTACTGAATCACTATAAAAAAAAATCCTGCACAAGATTAAGAGAAGAAAATGTCACCTCTTGACAATAAAACGAATCATAGTTCCAGCCTTAATCACATGCTTCCTGTTAGATCTGTTGACATACAAACCCTGGCCGTGTTTCTGCATCAAGAGAAACCACCACCCCAAGTAAGTTGATATCAACAGCATCAACATGTCTACCGCACGAAAAAAATAAATATAAAAAGCCACGATACTCGATCTCAATAATGACAACTGGTTAACATACCGTCTTGTATTTGAACTCATTGCGGATGTCCTCATCTGTTATTACAGCCGACGAGAAACCGAGAACAATCACATGAATAGACTCCTCAGTCACTTTCACCACCTTCCCTTCTGCAGTATTCAGAACAACACATTGGCTCAAAATTACTTAAAACCAGTCCTCGTATGACCCGGGAAGAGGAAACAATGCGTGTATCAATGGCGAAAGGGTACCTAAAAGCATGTCTGGCTTAGGCGAAAAGACAAGCAATTTAGCTTCAAGCCTCACAGCAATGAACGGATGAACACCAGGAAGGATTCGCCCCTTATTCTCCGGAGCATGAACATTATAAGCTAATAAAACACCGTCGAATTCATCATGGTACCTGCCAATGCCATCGCCACCTCAGGAAATGGATATTCTCAATAAACACTTGAATTTCACGCAGAAAGGCTCTACAAACTGACCGCTGTATGTAACTTAAAAAAAAAGCATGGAGTATGGAAGTTGTGCAGTTCTATCATCAAAATCCAAAGCAAGGTAACCCAATTGAAGCAGAAACCAGCTGAACACAATAATGAGCTACAAAGTTCCCTAGTTTCCAAAGTCTACAAAAGTTGAGAGAAGAGAACAGAGCAGAATACGTGTAAAAGAAACGAACTTGAAGAGCAACGCGCTGAGCTCGCGGAAGATAGCTAGAGAGAGATTATTGCTCTGCGAAGGCTGGAGGAAGACTTTCAAATTGGCCGCAACCACGCTTAATCCTTCCATTCCGAAGCAATCGAGGGGAGCACCGTGGCAACTTCGATTCTGCGCGGGAATGTTCTTCCCGCGGCTACGCCGAATTTGGGTTGCGTCGAATTTTTTGTTTACCCGGCGGCCCCAAACCACTAATACAAATTTTTTAGAGGTTACAGAAAGTAGAAGGAGGAGACGAGAGAAGGGTTAGACGGCGGCGAGAGAGCGGTTGAAAACCTGGGAAGCTTTCGTTTTGGAATGGACAGTGGAGACCGGCGACGGCGAGGGGAAACAAAATGGTGATATGAAGTTAGGCCGGCAATTAGAGGAGCCCAGTTGAAGTTGGGCCTGCGCTAGTTTTGGGCTTTGGTTCATGTGAAGCCCAAATATGCCAACTCTGTAAACCCATATACACGATTGTGAAGCAGATGCCAACGGGGAGCATGCAGAGTTCATCGCTATGTAGCTATAGCCTGTAGGAGAAGTTGCTGAGCAAAAACATCTTCGAGTTAGAACCAATGAATCCCGCGATAACTACGTTCTCTCGCGGCGAAAATCGACAATGTGTTGAGGTAAATTCAGCGAGGGAATGATAATGAGCAAGGGTTTGAGCTTTGAAGAAGAATCTGGGATGTAGTTTTGATTGAGCTCAAGAACCAAGTGAACATGCTAGTAGCTGGTGATAAATCGCATGCTCTGATGTCCGAGATCATGGAGAAGTTGGGAGGGAGCTGAGATTTAGAGATGCAGATGTCGGGTTACTTGCCAGAAACGAGACGATAGCCTTGTCTGAAGTGCGCGATGCAGAGGCCTGAAAACACTGCTGTTAGAAAGGCCAGAGGCTCGAGCTAGGAATGACTCGGCTCTTACCAGAGTTTGGAACATTATGCTGTGCCTCTGACCAAGAATATATACAGCAGAAAGCCAAAGTAAACAGAGGCCCCGCCCCTTCTGTTGCTTGGACGACGAATCTCGTATCCTGCTCCATTGCTACCAGCTGAGCTTAGAGGAACAACTGAGGTCTGGAGAGAAGGCTGCAGCCACTGGACTTGCAGTGTGTATACTACTAGCACTATTGTTATTACATTATTATCATGAATGATTAACTTAACGAGGATTATTCGTAAGTTTAAGGAAAATTGTACAAATTCTAAGCTGTCATTTGGCAGGGAAGGCAATAGCTTATACATATACAACAGCCTAAAAGGTCTTTGTCTTCTATTTTTGCCTTCTTGATCTAATGGGTTAATGAATCTGCCTGCCTGCGATCAGCTTTCTACCGGACTTCTGCTGCTGTCTTCCTGAAGCCGCCCAATTTCAGATACTTCAGATGAGAGCGTCTACAGCAATGCATGAACAATGAACAACCCAAGTCAAACACAAAACACACAGGGAAAAAAACATTTAAGGATAGAGTGTATGGAAGGGAGTATCTTAAGGAGAGGAGGAAGGGGTACGAACCAAGCCGAGAGCATCTGCTGCACTTTTATGGCTCTCTTTACTGCTGCAAGCCACGCAGAACATGTCCATCAGAAGTTCCCTCTGCTCGACCTTTAAGTGCTTTCCTAGTCCCTCCGCTACCATCTCCATTTCCGGCTGCAGAACACCGAACAGGAAAAAAAAACCTATCAATATTCAACAGGGGAGGGGCGACCAGCTTTTTTGCATGAACTCTACCATTGGCATACAATGATCTAACTACTCCACCCTCAAGCACCATTATTACAATGGCATTCTAGGAGGTGAGAGTCCAAAGCTTGGTTAAGCAATAAACATCCCAAATAGCAATGGTTCGATAATTTGGTAATATAACAGCCCCTAAAATCGACAACAAGAATGTGTAGGCCATACACAGTACAAGCAACAGTGGATAAAAGTGTAAACTTCAATTGGATGGTTGGTAAGTAAACGAGAGCATCAAGAAACCCCAAACAAACAAGTGTTTCCAATCACTGTCGATTAGCAGAACAGTGGAAGTACCAGGAGAAATTAAGAAAAGGAAGAAGATAGGGAGAAAACAAACCGAAGACTCATCGGGAGGAAATGTGTGGAGAACAGAACAGATGCTCAACAATTCCATTACTGCTTCAGAGTGTTTCCCTTGCACGTCCAAAGCCTGCAACCCAGCAAAAGAAAAGAAGTTGCATTCGCTGGATAAGAACCTTATGATTGCATTCATGGTTCAGTGATTAAGACTCTCCATAATATAACTCTTGGGATTAAAGCAGCTGTTTAATACTCAAGAGACTCTACATGAAATTGGCTATATTCTAATCCTTCAGTTCGATTTCATCTTTAGATAGCATTGTATCATTTCTGGGATAAGGCAGCAATATATAGGTATGTCTATACCAGAAGAAATTGATCACTTCAATTGACTAAAGTAGATCTTTGCTATATGTTACAGGCATCACCAGATAGACAAAAGTAGTATGGCCGAAGACATATACTGTCTGATTCCACCTCCTGTACATACACAAACTAGCTCTCCTTGCCGTTGGCAGCAAATGAAAGGTCGTTCTCATTCATAATCCATGTTAAAGATTTATAAAAATGATGCAATTTACAGAAAGGAGCAAACATTACCCAAGCCTGTAAGAAACACGAATGAGTGCGTGCAGCAACACCAGCAGACACAATTCGAGCAGCACGTATGCTCTCAAGCCCAATGTTGTCAGCAAGACCAGCAATGAACTGCCGGACATCTTCACCATCAATCTCAGGTATGCTTCCGTAACTTGGATTCCTGCAAGCTTGCAAAAGATCTCAATGTATAAGAATAGCAAGATCTAAATGTCACAAATTGGCATACCAGATGGAAGGCATGAAATACATATACCTGCTACACAAATTTAAAATGAAGTCAACTGATGCACGGAAGAGTGCGTCGCGAGTGTTTGCTGTGTCAAAGCTAACCTTCACTCCAGATGTCCTGCATATTCGACGCAACTGCTCACACATGCATGAAAGAGAGAGACCACCGCATATTGAATCAGATAACCAAACAAAAGGACCGTAATTTCAGATTCACTTTTTCTTGGATCATGGCAGGAAACCAGATCCCATGAGATGAAGTATTATTACTTCTTCACAGCATTTTTCTAATAAAGGGAGAAGAGAATAGGAAAGGCACTGACTTGAATTATGTCGTCCATAGCAAAATCCTTTCCGCTAGTTCTATAGTCCGTGATTGCTGGAAATAAATTTCATGAGTAGTCACTCACAAAAAAGACATGAATTTAAATACAAAATCAATTTCCAGAAATGCAACGTTTACCTACAAATAAGTAAAGATCGGACCAAGGATATATTATCAGCACATCGTTAATGCAAAAGATTACCTATAATGGAAGACTGAAATAACATTGTGCAGGGATTAAGTGATCGTACAAACTACAAAACTGTTAAATCCTCACAGTTCCTCGTAGCACATCAATCATGCATATTATCTAGTCTTCAACACATAACAGCTGATATAACTAATCAATCAACAATGCAAATTCTAGAAATCAGTTCTCAGTCCCATGTAACCACACCCTCGCTCTGCTTCAGATCTTAAATGATAAAGCTAAGAACTTTCTATGGTTGCAGCATATTTGAGTATCTTGCAACCGCACTATCTCCAATGCAGACTCCACCACGCTCAGTTCAGCTCAAAAATGGAAACCAGTAAACCAACCATCAAATGCACAGAAGGCAGACAACCATCTTTGAGTGCACTGCTGGTTTTGTTTATACAGCACAAGCATTGCAGTTCGAGCTAGATGACACTACAAAGATGAAAAGTTCTTCCTAACAACCTAACTGCATTCCTAAACCTCAATGCCTAGAATGTTCAAGATCGAAAGCTGGAAAAAAAATCTACTGGAAGAAAAAGAAAAGCAAACCTCGAATCAATCTCTTGGCTTCCCTTTGATACTCTTCCTGATTCTCCAATAATACGTTCCCCGACACCACCGTCGCCGGCCACCATTTAGGCAACCTGTCCTGCCTCCGAGCCAAGTACTTCTTCCAATCATTTCCCCCTACAGCAAGACTCAGGGACGACAATGGATTATCCAAAACCCCAAACCTCTTCCTCTTCGACCTCACGCCATCTCTCTCCGTCGGCACCGCCGCCGTCGCAACCACCACCTCTCTCCCTCCGAGACTCCGGTCTCTCCTCACCACAACCTTCTCCCTCCTAAACCCAACACTCCGCCTAACCGCCATCCCGAGGCTAACCAAAACCCTAACCGCCGAAACAATCACAAATCCGCAGAGCAAAACCATGCCGGTGAACCGCACGGTCGATTTCCGGCAGGAGAAGACGATCCTTCTGCTCTCGTCGAAGGACACGAGGGTGCTGAGGTCGGCGTACGCGTCCCTGCCGGAAGAGATGAACCGGCGGAGGTTGGAACGAGCGAGGTAGGAGAGCTGGTCGAGGTCGAGGACCAATTCGAGGTTCTGAGCTGAAGCGGCACGATCGAGGTCGTCATCTAGGTGGAGGGAGGGGCGGGCGGTGGAAGTCGAGGTCTGGAGTAGTTTCCTCTTGCCGGAGCGGCGAGAACGGCGGCGGCTCGGGGAGGGGAAGGAGCATCGGACGGATGAGAATCTGGACGCGGCGGTGAGGGCGGGGGATTTGTGGGGAGAGTGGAAGCGGGGACAGAGAGGTGAAGAGAAGCGGAGCGTGTTGGCCGTGGAGTTCATCGGAGGGAATTGGTTCTTCGTTTTCTTGATGGTATCCGTCGGCGGTGGGAAATGGCTGACTGAGGGAGGTGATGATGAGTAACGAGATGGATAATTGACTTTGTGATGCATTATATTTTGTCTTATTCATATAATAGTCACTAAATTTAGAATTAATGGCAAACCGGTCACTGAACTTTAAGATTACCAACAAATTGGGTCTCTAGCGCTTTTATTCTTAACAATTTATCATTGAGAAAGTGTTTGATTTGGATCGATTATCTATGAGCCTATGACTATGAATAGTTAATGTGAAGGTAAGACCAACAATGAGCCAACACATGAATTAGTTCGACTATGATGGCAAGTGACTCAATGCGGGTTATGGTGGCTTGCTGGTTTGCACGCTACGATTGTTGATAGAAAATCACAATGTGTCGATAAATAGACCAGCTCAAGTAGGTCTAACGACTCATGCCTCAAGACTAAGCAATTCACATCGACTTGTAGGTCAAGTAGGTCAGGCTACTCACGCCTGGAGCCCTAGAGAGTTGAGATTAATCAATTCACGACAACTTGCAGGTCAAGAAAGAATCATGGGATTGTTTATGCATATGGTAACTGCAGGTAACATATCGATAAGGATTGACCTATAAGCAAGCAGACACAGTACCACGGAGTATCTAGATCATGACGAGCATTGAATGTGTTTATCGACCTGTAAGCAAGCAGACAATATCGGGGAGTATCTAGATCACGACGAGCATACCCCCAACCCTAAGCAAGCATAACACAACAGCAAGCAACTACGAAGGGCTCCGGCAAAGGACACGCTTCAATCCATTCACTCACCAGAAACTATACTTTCAAACTGCACATTCTCCACCGTTGTATCAACCGTCATAAACAGAACGTCCATTACAGTAAAATAGTTTTCTCGTTGCGCCAGTATGATTTAAGAACAGAATACAGAAGAACAAAATCTCTCATCTTTAATCACATGGACATTGTAACAGTGGACAAGGTCACAAGATTCTAACTCTGAGGAGTATAGTAATAGAACATATAGATCAAGAAAGGTGAAAACGAACAAAGATATATATAAATCTACTGTCCAAGATGAATACAGGTAAACCCCCTAGCCCTTCAAAACCACAGCCATCTGCATTTTCACTTCACTCAATTCTTCTTCTAATGGGTTCTCTCTACTAATGGTTCCAAATAGTATCCCCCCATTTCCAAACTGTAAACATTTCTTCTTTTTCTTTACTCGATTATTTTGCGGACTCTGGACAAGAAACTTATCACTCTGTGTTAAGTCCATCTGCCAAAAGAATTCCCAACATAGAAAGGGATGCCTGAAACAAAATTACATGTTCGATGAACTCGAGAGTTGGTTTTGGTTGGCTTTTTGGGCAGGAATGGAGATAGATGGATGGAAGTGTACCTTCATGTATGTGATATGTACCCTACAAAACTTTAGGTGGGAAGTAGAGGCTGCCTTTCGTCATGGCCTACACGGTGAGTCATCTGGCAAGGCGAGCATAATAATGTTACATTGGAACTAGTCAAGATAGAAGTTTGTACCAGGTTGATTGATAAAAGCAATAACATACAAACCCACCTCTTCATTTGCAGCGGCTGCCATGTTTATGAACGATTCCTTTGACCTAAATACAACAAGTGCAAGATGTTTGAGTTCTTTGCGAGAACCACCATTACTAAGGTGACATGCATTCAGGCTCAGCAGAAGAAAGAACAGATGAATTCAGGTGCGACAAGTCATAAGAGTTTGTATTTGGCACGATAAACACTGAGAACTTAATCCAACTTTGACCAGAAATTAATGAGATGGAGAGAAAAGACTGTACCTTTGGGGGTCCTCTTCCTTCAGTTCCATAACCCCATTATGGGGTTCATCTTTGACTTTGGCAAGGGGAGAGAAAAACTGAAAAGGAAAAGAACCCAGAAGATACATGATGGAGCTTAGTTAACAACTTTGATTCAAATGAATCCAAGAGTTCATAGCCCAGTCTTATACATCACACACCTGATGCATTGAAATGAACACGATTGAAATTCCCAACACAAAGTTCATTGTCAACTTGTGACCAAACATTGCTGCAGATGCTATGCCTGTGAAGATTGTGGCCACCGTCGACGAGTACTTCTTCAGAATAGTGTCTGGAGATATAGAAATCCCAACCCATGTCAGTGATGGAATTTGGATACGTACCAGCAAGACAATGGCAAAAGACCGAACAAACCTGCATATTTGAAGAAGAAAGAGGACAAAATTCCTTGGGCTGCATTGTTACATATTAGAAGCATGGTAGCTCTTGAATGACCATGGAGGATATCCATGCTACTGGGACCTGAGAAATCAAGTACAACAAAAACAGCAAGATGTCAGTAACTGTGCCATACAAATGCAAGTGATCCGTGATTATACCTTTAACGAGTGTAATTCCCAGTATAGCCAGAAAATTGAATATAGCACCATAGCCATACAAAAACAGATTCTGCAACAAAAAAATATATATTAAAACACATAGCCAACTGAAAATACACATGTAATGTCCAATTATTTAGTTTCAACTTCAGACATTGGCAACGAGGATAACAAATTAGGAACACAGAGGTCATGGCTCTATCACATGTTCATTTAGTTGTTTAATTTCAACAAGATTGACAATCTAATGGAAATGCTCTACAAAAGTCCAGCTACATGCCACAGGCCACAATATAAAGCCTGAAAAGCGTATTCTAGGAGCCTAAATGAAGTAGCATCATCAATACATAAAACTTAAATCTGTACTTAATATAGGAACCAAAGGTCCTTCGCGGTAGTACATTACCTGAAGATATATGCTGGTATCATATTGACTCTTCAGAGCGTACTCGTTAAATACAGAGGCCAGAGATGGGACTGTTACCTAATAAAATTTCAGAAATTTACCAATGAGGAAAAAGATAAGTGAACGTCTTTAGTGAATACAATCTTGAATCGAAACTGTTGAAGGGGCCAGCTGTTAACCACAGCAACAAAGCAGAAATAACTACTTTCAATGTGAGTTTATTTGAACTTACAAAGATAAATGTGTACATATAAGCACCCGTAGCAACTGGAAGGCCCAAGGCGGTAGTACCTTCAGGTAATGAGCGTAACTGATTTACACTAATACCAATGAGCAGCAAAGCAAGGGCTTCCCACTGTGACAAATCATGATCCAGTTGTTAAATTTTTCAAGTAAAGAATAGAATCTTAGGGCTCACAGAGAAGTACAATTACTGTGCTTGTGGCTTATAGAATTGACCTGAATTATAGAGAAGCGACGCTTCATTACCAACTTGAGCAAAACAGCAATGACCAGAACCTGCAAGTTTGTACATAAGTTAATTTAGGAAGAAATTGTAAGAGATAAATTTACAGGTTCTTTTGAAACAATCATAAGAGCCTAGAAGTCCTATGGTTTAAAACCAACAAAAGCTACAACCCTCCAAACCAACAAGAGCCTAGAATTCCTATGGTTTTCTTCGATCATATTTCCAAAATTAAGTATTCAGCACATGATTTCGACCAAACAATTACAGCGAAATAAAAAAACACAATTTTTTTCAAACAGACCCATCCCACAGATGCTAATAAATTCTATGAATATAACAACTTAGATCCCATAACACAGGTAAGCAATGGAAAATAAATACCTTTAAATTGCTAAGCATCTTCACCGTTGCAGGATTAAAATAAAGCTGCAAAATAAACAAAAGTTCTCAACCAAGTGATTCACAACATCTTGTTCGGAAAACAGGAGCAAAAAAGCAAATTCGAAACATCAAACTCCATACACCAGACCCTCATAAACATCCTTTGAAAAAGAATACCACCTAGCTAAATTTGCGGATGGAAAAATGTCTAAACCTAGCTAATTCGAAAATATGGCCTTTCAACGTCCCCACACCTTCTCCTTCCTCCTTAAAGAGCACCGTAACTGTTTACCAAAATTATTTGGAAAATAATCTCTTGCTGCTACTTCAGCTGTAGCTCCTTGTTTTACTTTTATATTCCATGGTTTCGTAAACATTTTCTTTATGACCCACTTCACAGCTAAATACAGCATTGATAACCAACCAACTTATAAACACTTGTTGTATAAACTTCATAGCAGATTCATCTTCGTTTTTTTATGCAAACTTAAATCATTAAGTAGATCCATATGATAGATAACACAGAACCCTTACCTGCATTATGAACTTCAGATAGTTATTGATAGCATAGAGAAGCGCAGGAACCGCAAGGAGGACATTGTTACGAGCTGCCTGTCAAAAATATTGATTAGCATAATATATCATATCTAACTTAGTGACCAGACAAAACGAAGAGTTCACAACAAACACAAATATACATCCTGTGCAGGTTACACTATGATTGGTTAAAAGCCTCAAAAGTATTTGAAGGTAAAGATTCGAGTTCACTGTCACCACAAAATGATGACAAAATACACATTCCTCTTGTAAAGCCAAGGGCACAGAGGAGGCTCGAAAAATCAAGCCTGTGTTCTGAAATGGTAGTTTCATCTATGATAGATTACTAATATCACACACATACCTGTACAAAAGTAGACATCGATAGAAGTGGCTTCTCCCCGACTTTCTGACTTCTAGCCTGCAGAATCAGGGGAAATCTTCCATCGTCAGGTAAAAAGAATAACCATGACTCAAAATAAAATTAATGAAATGCACAGCAAGATACTCAGGGGGACCAGGCCTCTGGAATCTAACCATTATATTTATGTAATTTCCGCCACAATACCACCCTACCCATCCTCTCTCACACTAATAGAGATTCCCCAACTCAGCCCCTAACTTCCTACACACCGAGGTAAAGCAATATTATCATGTTTATATAGCAAGATCAACCTCTTCAGATGAACACAGATACATTAAATCACAACAAGCAATATCTGCGATCCATGGTTCATCATGTTAATACTGAAGTTCAGGGGTTCAAATACACTTGTGGTTTGTTAAGCACTACATAATATGGGTCCACTAGGTCTCATGCATCAAAACATCTGCATGAAGCAGACAATGACATGATAAGATACATGATACATCCAAAAGGTGGCCAACCAAGGCATACTAGAACTACACCAGACAGAGGAAACGTCTCAAACAATCTTACACAACCATTACATGACTTAATAAAGAAGCAAATATATACCAATAGCATTAATCAAGGTTTGTAGAGGGATATACTTTTACATACCTGTAAAATAAGCATAACGATTGCAAATACGACTTTTGTAACTTCTGTCAAGAAGTTGACACTTATCGGGCTAAACTCAAATTTTCCATCCACCTTGGACATATACACCAATATAGGCTGCAAGAAGAGGCAAGGTATGCAAAAAAAAAAAAATTAGGAACTTAATTCCTAAACAAATAATGACAGTAATTTGTAAGAAACCCAGAAGCATGCAACAAAAATACAACATAATCATGAAGGCATGAACATAAAGCAGAAAAAGATCAATATTTCACCCACTATACCTAAGCTTAACCAACATAGCAGTTTAGCGGTCAAGCAGGAAGGATTTCAGTAACATGAAAGGACCCACATCTCAACTTATCAGAAATAAGAGTAAAACACTATCATATCTTTCCAACCAATGAACAGTGAGAACAATGGTGATGCTACTATTTCTGGTATACCCTTGTTCAGAAGGCAGCTCCCCGTCAATCATTATGTACAAATCCGCAAAATCATACTAGACTCATCCTGTGATGCATCACTCAACTAGATTTAACAATGTACAAGACCTATCTGTATAACTCTACATTACAAGTCTGCACGCAGCATAAGCTGGGAACATCAAAGAGATCCGTGTAACCAATCAGCTAAAGCATCCCAGTACCTGCCTACTCTCTTTACCGTCCAAAGTACTGCCAGCTCAATTTCACAGTTCAAAAGAGCAAGAAAAGAAAAGCCCCAGATCAATTACCTGTAAGCCAACTAGCATACAATCGCCCACAACCAACAACACATTGAGGGCTTTCTGCTTGGACGACACCCTGCTCTTGTGCCTGTCATAAGCCCTCGAAACTGTTTTGGAAGACGGAGATGCCAGCAGTTTGGAATGGCATACGCTGCATTCTATCATGCCCTTTTTCATATCTTCACCAAAATGTCCGTTACAGATGCTTTAACAAACCGAATCTGCAACAATTCATAGCAAACATTTAAACTCCCGCAGACAAACCTCCTTCCCCATAATATGAGCTGAATCTAGCTGGGGAAAAGGGGAAATCAGATCCCCAATTCACAGGCAGGCAACATGAAACAGGAAATTCAGAGATCGGTTACGGCGGCATAGAGGATCTGGAACCAGGAATGCCGGCGGCGGCGAACGAATCAGATCTCTCGCCACCGCCACCGCCAACGAAATTCACAACCCAAACATTCCGCCGACAAACCGAAAGGAACGGAAGAGGTGAAGAAACGCGGGAAAAAAGGAGGAGCTAGGACGACCTCAAATGTGATAGCTTCCGTCAACAACGCATTCTCCGGAGGGATCAAACAAGCTCGCCGGCGGGGTGGAAATCTCAGGACACAAGATCCGCAGCTCCCACCACGGCGCTCCTCAATTCTACCCTTCCCCGACCGACCTGCGTTACCCTCTCTCTGTCTCTCGTTCGCTCTGAAAATCTCTCTCTCTCTCTCTCTCTCTCTGTGTAAGCTTGAATGCGCTTGCGTGCTATTAGCTGCGAATTGAGGAGAGCTCCTAACTTAAAAATTCAACCTTTTTTCCCCTGACGGAAAGGGGAGGTAAAGGAGAAAACTAAAAAGATTTTATTATGCGAAGAATATGCAGAAAGATTAGAGAATATTAAACTGATAATAAAAATTATTTTAGTCTAATGAAGTGTTTGATTGGAGTTGTATTTTCTTTGCAAAATGGTTTGTTACAAATTAAAATTAGTACAAAATATCAATAAGATTAATAAAAAACGTGTTGGTTCGAATGGATGAAACGAAGAGCCGTAAAAATTTGATTTCTTGTTAAAATTGATGTAATAAATTGAGCAATCATCATGTGCAGGTTGAGCAATCATGATCGTTATCAACGTAACGTAAAGTTTGAACGTTATTATGAAGTCGGATTGGAGATCAACCATTAAACTTTTGAAAATGTGTTATGAACGAATAAATTTTCAATAAGTACAACTTAAATGTTACAGTTTGTCATCAATAGTAGTTATCAAACTATGACTTGTTAACAGAGACAGAAACAGAATGATAACGATAACGATGAATGATCAGACACAGACACGGAGTTTACGTGGTATCCCTGGATGTGATCCAGGACTAATCCACGGAAGAGCTTTGAACGCTCTTCAGGCTACTGATTTTACTGAGAAGAGAGAATGAGATGTTGTACAGCAGCTGATCTCCCACATCCCCTTTTTACACCCGAAAACCCTAAGCACACAGCCTACGTAGACTAGTGCATGGGCCTGCATGAAAGCATGGGCTTAATTAATGGGCCCCATACATCTTAACTCTCTTAATCAACATAAACCGTAGCCTAATATTACATATGCTTAACATCCTCCCCCAAATTGATGCCGATCTCGAAGCATCAATTTGTTTCCAAGAAACCAATGACGACTGGTAGAAAAAGCCTTGGTGAATAGATCTGCAACCTGCTCTTCGGTCTGAAGGTGATGCAAGCGGAGAGTACCGTCACGAACGAGATCACGAATGTAATGGACGTGGATTTCAATATGCTTCGTACGATCGTGGAGCACCGGATTTTCTGCAATGCGGATAGCACTAGTATTGTCGACGTACAGTCCCATAGGCTGAGGACAGGTGATGCCAAAATCAGACAAGAGCCGGCGCAGCCAAACAACTTCAGATCCCACCTCAGACATAGCCCGATATTCCGCTTCTGTGGAGGATTTGGAAACTTTGTCTTGCTTCTTGCATCGCCAGGAAATAAAGGCGCCACCAAACTGAACACACCATCCAGAAGTGGATCGGCGGGTATCAATACAACCAGCAAAGTCAGAATCAGAATAAGCACAGAGAGTTGGACTACCAGTGGATGGAAACAAAATTCCGAGCTCCTTAGTGCCTTGCAGGTATCGCAATATTCTGTGTACGGCAGCCAAATGATCTATACAAGGCTCGGCCATAAATTGACTGACCACCTGAACTGAATATGAAATATCTGGACGGGTAGCAGAAAGATAGATGAGACTCCCGACAATACTGCGATACTGAGATCCATCCTTCAATCGCTCACCGGAGACCTTCTGCAGCTTAAGATTAACTTCCATGGGAGTTTTAACTGGCTTACAATCCGCAAAGTCATGATCGGCTAGAAGATCAGATATGTATTTCCGCTGACTTAATAAAATACCTTGATCACTGCGACTAACCTCCAAGCCGAGAAAATAAGATAAAGTGCCCAGATCCTTTATACTGAAAGCTTGCTTCAATCCGTCTTTAAGATGTAAAATTCCCTGTGAATCAGTGCCAGTAATCACCATGTCATCAACATAAAGGAGAAGAACCACAATACCCGCAGAAGAAACTTTTGTGAAGAGAGACGGATCGTTTAGACTTTGCTGAAAACCCAACTGAACAATGGTAGACTGAAACTTCTCAAACCAGGCTCGAGGTGCCTGTTTGAGACCATAGAGAGATCGATGGAGCAGACACACCTGATCTTCACGCCCAACAGTATAACCGGGAGGCCTTTCCATGTAAATTACTTCCTCCAAGTCACCATGGAGAAAAGCATTTTTGACGTCCAGCTGATACAGAGGCCAATTAGACAGTGAAGCAACAGCCAGTAAGGTACGAACTGTGGACATCTTGGCAACAGGAGCAAAGGTCTCATTGTAGTCAACCCCATGCTCCTGAGTATATCCAAGAGCAACCAGCCTAGCCCTGTTTCGCTCAATGGAACCATCTGGACGAACTTTGATGGCGTACACCCATCGACTGCCAATAGTCTGAGGGCACGGAATAGGCCGATCAACCACTGTCCACGTTTTATTGGCTTCCAAGGCAGTAAATTCCTCCTGCATAGCTCGATCCCAAATCGGATTACCACGAGCTTGTTTAAATGTAGTTGGAACAATAAGTGTATCCACACCATGAGCAACATAATCTTCATGGGATCGAGGCGGCACTCCTTTGTTGGACCGGGCTGATCTGCGAGGGGGAGGCGGAGCAATTGAAGAAGGCGTGGCAGGTGGTGACAAGTCGGGGCCGCTAGACTGTGATGAATCAGAAGAAGTTGCACTTGCCGAGCTTGATGAGGGGGAAAGCAGTATGGGAGAGGGAGTATTATCACCAGGATCATTGGTAGGTGGCTCTGCAAAGTCAGATTCATCAAATATTGGCAAAGCATTTTGTCCCCCAGGAAACTCTAGTTCGGCTGCTGGCTTTAAAGGATAAAACATAGAGTTTTCAAAGAATACAACAGAAGGAGATATTCTCATCCGTTGACACGAAGGATCATAACAGATATACCCTTTATGAACACTGCTATACCCAAGAAAGACACAACGAGCAGTTTTGGAAGTCAGTTTAGTACGTTCACGTTTGGGAAGGAGAACAAAACATAGACAACCGAAGACTCTAAGACGGGAATAATCAGGATGATAGCCATAAAGAGTAAAGAAAGGACTCTGTTGACTCAAAACTGGAGTGATTTGATAGTTGATTAACCGGACAGCTGTGACCACTGCTTCAGGCCAGAAACGACTTGGGACAGAAGAAGCAAGAAGAAGAGCTCGAGTAAGCTCCATGACATGTCTATTTTTTCTTTCAACAAGACCGTTTTGCTGAGACACACCTGGACACGACATTTGACTGAGAATACCTCTAGATCTGTAGACCTCATGTAAAGGAGTAGAGCTGAACTCTCCACCAGGATCAGATCGAATGATCTTAATAGTTTTTCCAAATTGAGTTTGTATCATATCAATGAACTCTAAAGCCACAGAACGGAGATCAGACTTTAAACGAAGAAAATATATCCAGGTGTACCGGGTAGCATGATCTATGAAAAGAGCAAAATATCGAAACCCAATCCGGGAAACAGTAGGAGAAGGTCCCCATAGATCAGTATGAATAATATGAAAGGGTTCATTTATGACAGTAGTACTGGAAGGGAAAGATGAGCTAGAGGTTTTTGCTTCAACACAGCTTGTACAAGAATGTTTAGCTGAAACTCCAACAAAATTCTTTCCAAGAAGAGATTGTTTAAACATGACAGAAAGACGACCCGAGTGTGGATGCCCTAAGCGAGCATGCCAAAGTTCCCACACTTTATTTGACAAACTGGAAAACACAGGACCAACAACATGATTTTGGATAGAAGGAGAAAGACTACTGACATTCCTATACTCATACTGACTCGATGAAATTGATGAACCCGAACTGTCTTGCAGCTCATCCAAATGAAAAATCCTCCCCTGTTTACTCCCCCTTCCGATCTGCTTCCCCGTCTTCAAGTCCTGTATAACACAGCCAGTAGGAGCAAACATAACAGAACACCCTTGCTCAGTAAGTTGTCCAATAGAAACCAAATTAGGTACTAATGCTGGAACATGTAAAGTATGGGATAAAGATATGTTCGGAGTATCAACATTACCAACACCTTTCACTGCCATCCTATCACCATTAGCAACCGTTAATCCAACATGATTAATAGATTTGACATTTTGTAAGGCTGTATGATCATTTGTCATGTGATTATAACATCCTGAGTCAAGCAACCAAGGTTTACTTTTGATCTTACCTTGAAGAGTAGTCATGGCCGAACCAATGGCTGTAGGCAGAGAATTTTGTAGGGCTGCCACTGCCTGTACAAGCTGTTCGAACTGAGCAGCAGTCACATTCCCGGCCGAGTTGCTTGATTCTCCATGTTCAACAGCATAAACAGGACGATTTGTGCGTCCTTGAGGACCTCGACCAGCCCCAGCATTGCGCTCAGCATTGCGCTCTCTAGTTCGGCACTCCAATATTATGTGCCCCATTCTTTTGCAATAAACACAGTAATTTCTTCTCCGACAATGCTTAATTAAGTGTCCTTTCTCATGGCAGTGATGACATTCAAGCTCAGTACTAGGAACTCTATTATTGAATTGAGGTCTAGTAACAGCAAGCACATGAGAATTCTGCCTCATACCTGACGACCTTGTCGCAGAAGAAAAGAAGGTTTCACCTTCCCCGGGACGGACGTCCAGCTGAGCTTGAGTCCTCAAGCGAGTCTCCTCTCGCACGAGGCTGCTAATAACTCCATCAAAATTGATCCGCTCCCTGTTCAGAATATTGGCGCGGATGTTCTCGAATTCTGGCCGCAGTCGCATGAGAAACTGCATGAGTCTTGTTTGCTGGCGCTCGGCAATCATATCTTCAGTCAAGGCTTGCGGACGAAGGGCCATTTGCAGCATGTCCTGCTCTGTCCATAACTCTTGGGCAGCGTTAAAATATTCTGAGACTGATCTGTCCCCTTGAGTCAAGCGAGCAAGCGTGGTTTCCACTTCAAACTGCCGAGCAGCATTTGTTGTTGAGTATAGGCCAGCAAGATGTCTCCACATGCGATTTGCTGTGGGAAACAGACGAAGGCTTAGGCAGGTAGATGGATCTACCGATCCTGTGAGCCAAGAACGGATTCGGGCATCGTTTTGAGCCCAGGTCGCGATCTCCTGAGGGGTGGCAGTGTTGGCATCCGGCTGAGCAATGGTTCCATTTAATATTCCCAGCAACCCCCTTCCTTCAACAAAGACACGGAATTGAAATTCCCAGAGAGCATAGTTTGTAGATGTGAGGCGCACCGTTGGCCTCTCAGAATCAGCTGCGGAAAGCTCTGATACCATGTTAACAGAGACAGAAACAGAATGATAACGATAACGATGAATGATCAGACACAGACACGGAGTTTACGTGGTATCCCTGGATGTGATCCAGGACTAATCCACGGAAGAGCTTTGAACGCTCTTCAGGCTACTGATTTTACTGAGAAGAGAGAATGAGATGTTGTACAGCAGCTGATCTCCCACATCCCCTTTTTACACCCGAAAACCCTAAGCACACAGCCTACGTAGACTAGTGCATGGGCCTGCATGAAAGCATGGGCTTAATTAATGGGCCCCATACATCTTAACTCTCTTAATCAACATAAACCGTAGCCTAATATTACATATGCTTAACATGACTTAGGGTATGCTTTTCTATTTAATTTCCTCTTCTTGTAACTCGTTGGTTATTTCATATGTAGTATGCTTAATTTCCTCTTCTTGTAACTGTTGGTATGTTTTTTTTTTTTTTACGTTTGTCGGAATAAGTATCAATTTAGTACCAAACAACATATATTATTACATTTTTTTGTATGGATTTATTATCCGATGCGTTAAATCTAATAAACAAGAAAATACAATCGAAGAATACACTAAGGGGTCGTTTGGAAGTTGCGATTGTTAAATAGATGTATTTGTTGAGAATGCATGTATATTATTATACATGTATTGTCGAATTTAATGCATTGTAGAATACAACGTTTGTTATGTGTGATTGTGTATGTCGCATCAGCTAAAAACTGGGACAAAACAATCTTAACTCAACTATCTCAACAATCACAACTAAAAGTTGAGATATAACAATCACTCAAAATGACTGATAGTTTCTGTCACATCATAGAAACAATCCATGTATTGTTTCTGCTAAAAAAAACAAAAAAAAGATGCATTGTAAACAATACATGCATAATGACAATCTCAACAAAACAATCGCAACTTCCAAACGACGCTAAATATGTTTAACACATGCACTTAACAAAATAGTAGAGATCCAACATGTGTCCATAGTCTCATAATTAGATCACACTTAGCACTATTAAAAAAAAGAACAAAAAGGAACATATAATATGAATTAATAAAACTCTTTCTTGCTATCCAAGCAAACCAGACACACCTGCAATTTGTTGATAATACTAATAATATCATTATTGGTTGCTAATTAACAATTAACAAAATGGAAAACAGAAACATGAAATGCAAGGCCATTAGGCCAAAGGCCGCTTTCTCCCACTCTGTAACGTCACTTCAGCTTTGCTTTGAACCCACAGCACCAACCAGAAGGTGGCGCCGTGTAAGGTTCCCCAACAGCTTTGAATCCGGGGGAACTCTCTTGATACATGGAGCTGAATCTGTTGACTCATTATCTGATTCAGCAAAATCTTCCGTTCTCTCCGATCCTTCGTCCACGTCGTAATCCACCATCATTGCAGCTTCATCATTCATATCCGCCCCTGCATTAGCTTCAGAAGGGTTCTGTCCTGATTGATGAACGATTCTGCCTGTTTCGGACGCAGTTTCTTCTTCTTCTTCTTCTTCTTCTTCTTCTTCTTCTTCTTCTTCTTCTTCTTCTTCTTCTTCTTCTTCCATGTCGATTTCTTCTAGTGAACCAGGTTCCTGAGGCTGTGGTTGTGGTTGTGTTGTTTCATTATTAGGCTGTGCATGGTGCATCATCATCGGAGTTTCATCGGTCATCTCGACCTCTGTATTACCCGTGGAAGTGTTCTGTCCTGATGGATGATCGACTCTGGTTGTTTCACAAACAGTTTCTTCGGTTTCCATGGTGTCGAGTCTCCATCTCTGGATTAGTATGTCACTGGTTGTTGGATCAGGGTGGCTGCCATCAAGCGCTGGTTCATGATCATTGCATCTGGAAAATGGCGTGCTTGGGTTCATGGAGAGAGGGTCTATCAATGGCAATGCGCGGGGATGGATGAGCACTTCCAAGGCTAAGAGTGCGTGGGTACAAAATTCGGAGATCTTCAATCCTGCCTCTCGCCTGCCTGCACAATATCCCAAATCAAACTTACGAGGAATAGTTTTGGATCAGAAATACAGCCATTTTACAATGACATGATGGGGCAAAGTGAATGGTTTACCTCTATTGAAAAGCTCAAGGCTTTGCCCTAAATGAAGGGGGCGAGTGTGAGTTGAGGAAAGGAGAGATGCCAAAAGTGCCTCCAGTACTGCAAATTGAACATCTGAATCCATCGAAGGGTGGTCTTTGGACGAGACACTCCTTTCATTCCTCCATCTATCTGTACAACTCTTGCTCGCCATGTTCATTACAAGATTATCAATACTAGATCGCCAAGGTTGAGATCCAAGAGCACCACCCTGGCAACCAAAAGGAAACCAAAACTGTCTCATTCATAGAGGTTGCAGACTGAAACCAGACTACCTTTCTCGAGGCCACCACTATATGAAGACCAGAACTAAACATTTCTTTACTTGGTCAATAAAGATCTACAGATTACTGAAATGATATGACACTGTACAAGATAAATACCACGGTTAGTAAAGCTTTTATCGCCTCGAGTGCAGCTTTTTTTACTGAATTTACAGCTGACTTGTTCTCATTTGCATGAGCAGCAATAACATTCAGATCAACGAGGGCATTGTCGACGACCACTTGCCCGATATAGATTGTCATACCTGTCGAGAGTAGAACTTACTAATGTACAGTGTATCGAAATGCATTACATAAGCAGTATCGCTTAAGCAAAGAACAGTTGTTACAAGGAAAACTTACACAGCTAAAAACTGGGAAAATTAGTTTGACAGATCGACTTACCGGCACCTCCATATATGAGCAGCATCTTTAAAATTGAATACAGCTTTACTCTCAACTCTGGCAGTTGACACCTGCTCGAATACTTTGTAACAAGTTGGATAATATCTGCAGCATGCGGCAGTAGTTGACTACCAAGGAAACAAACACATGAAAAACCTAGCTTGGTCAGCCAAATCAAGATTCAAGCATAAGACGATATGGACAAAGAACGACACAGGAATTTACCTGCGCAAGCACTCTATTACAGAAGAGAGGAGCTCTAGAGCATATGAATGCAGAGCAGGGAGCTCTGAACACACACACTCTTGTTCGGCTGCAAGCAACTTGGCATCTGGCAAAGAACCATGAACCGTGACGACCCTTTCCACAAGGGCTAACAGTGACCGAACAGGAAGCTTTACCTGTGTGTAGATTGCAAATAAGCCAAATAAGTATTAGATAAAGATGCTTCTTTTTATTCAAACCGTCATGAATGATGCATCCATGGCTACTTCAGAAATCCTCTTCAAGTGAAAGATGCTTTCAAAATACAAACCAATCATCGAACCATTACCTGGACATGGTATGAATTTGCAAGCATTGTTAAACAACTGGACATCAGTAACATGGCAGTGTGTAATTTAACCATCCTTTTTTCCGCGCCCAAGACATTTTCTTCCAACTTTTGATTCCAAATCATTTTTGGCTTTCCCCCCAAAAATTTAGTTGCTGCGTCCCCTTTACTTTCTACAAGACACAGAGAGATAGTTAGGGCGATAGCATTTGCACTAGGATTGGAATGTCTGAGTTCTTACTAACACATACTTTCCTCCATTCCACGGAAGGCATCAGTTAATGAACCATTCAGCAGCCACAGAATATTCTTGAGTATTGAAAGCCACCTATCTTTGCCTCGGTTAATATTGGGAAGTAATGCCAGGGCATGGGCAAGCTTCTGCACGTCAAAAGATTGAACAGAAGATGTGTCATGAAAGATGCTAAAAAATTCATGATGATACGAAATTTCGGTGGTACGAAGTCAGCCAAGATCGAGAAGAAGAAAGCCAGAAGTTAAGATGAGGAACCTTCGGCAAATCAGGACTGTCATTCTCTGAGAAAAGTTTTGACATAATTGCTTCTTCCACCTGCAGAGCACAGACCCTTTATCGTCACAATTACAAAACATCAACGGAACACATCCTTCGTTACTGTCCAAAAACAATACAGGTATGGAATATGCTCGGAATTGTGGATACACATCTCACTATCGACCTTGATTTGACAGGTTGGCTAAATACCCACCTCAAGGATCCTGTTTTGGGGCTGACTTTTGGAGTCACAGCATGGTACCTGTGGAAGAGGAGAAATGAATGGCTTTTCCAGAACAAAAGGCAGGAGGCTTCCATTCTGGTTCTGGCTCAAAGAATACAGAGCTGTACAAGAACCATTTTCCAATCACAAGAAAAAAATGGTAAACTACAACAAGTTCAGCGCAGGAAAACTCTTAATGATCTCTCATGGATCCCACCACCTATGGACTGGGTTATGATCAATACTGATGGCTCAGTGCAGCAACCAAGCTCGAAAGCTGCAGCAGGAGGTTTAATGCGGGACCATACAGGGAAATGTATGAATGCTTTTATCTCTAATCTTGGCATATGCACCATTACAAGAGCAGAGATCAAAGCCGCTATACAGGGGCTGAGAACAAGGTTCAGAAAGTATTCATTCACATTGACTCGACTACGGCATATCATATCCTGACTTCCGACGAAGAAAGATACGTACTTCATCCTATCTTGATGGTTCCACAGACTGATTCGGCAAAATTGGGGGAGAAAATCTCTCATATTTATAGAGAAAGGCGGCAGACTATATTGCCAACAAAGGTCATTCCACTAGTATAGGTCCTCATATTCTTGATGTTTCAGATCCATGTTTAAACTTCTGAATTCTGTATGGGCATTGCCCAAACTCGATTAATCAAAGTGCCAGGTAGGGGTGACCTTTTAGTGTCCTACTTTTTCACCCAAAAAAAGACTCATATTTAAGCTGTTACAACGGAGAAAAGACTTACTTCGTCACAATACCCACAAAGAGAGGCTGGAAATGTAGTTATGATAGTGCATAACAGATGCACTGCACTTTCCTGTATGCCACAGCAAACAAATTCACAGAGTTACCAATTGAAATGTGCACAGTAAAAAAGAGTAACCCTTTACTGCTACTATTATGTCAGCAGTATGAGCTTAAAGGCTGTCTAACGGGTGGTTATGATGGGGGATTTCATTGTTGTTCATAAAGATATCAGCTAGAAAGCCCCAACCTGTAAAGTGTGAGGATTATCTTCATTCAACATCTTCAGAAGTAGTTCAGCGAGTTTCCTAGCACGAGCGCTGCAATCTCTCTTCCACTCCGGGGATCCAGACAACCTAATTCAGATAGTTCATAGCCTCAAGATTAAGAGAGCTGCTGGGAGAGAAGAAACATGGTTCTGAAGAAAACAAGCACCTTGTAAGCAGATGCGAGATCGATGCACAAGAAGCCACCTTCAGAGATGGCGAATTGCCAGAACGCTGTATGGAGAACACGAGACATATAACTCACTGAGTGTTTCAGAACAGTGGACTAATAAGTAATTAAGAACTGTCAAACTTGCAATATTTTCCAGGTAAAGGGACAATGTTATATACCTGCATGATTGATACAAGTTGGTCAAACCAGGCCTCCCATGATATCGCGAGACGCTCAGAGCTGCACTCTTCAATGGTTACTCCTACCAAACATATACCAGCCCAACATTTTTCTGGCTATAAACAGAAACACAGAATTGGTAAAATTTACAACAGACACAAGTCTGCAAGAGAAGCAATTCGCAGTAACTCTACTCTACCAAGGAACCAACTTTAACGATTTGAAACGCACAAAGGAAGAAAACCCAACTAAAAGAGAAAATTCCCTCTCTGCAACGGGAAGAAGCTGGGAATCAAAGAATAGAGTACCCACCATGTGTACTAAAGCCACGAGTGACCGCAGCCGTTCGACCCAGTCATCGACGGCGGACTCCCACTGTTCAATTTCCTCCGGCGACATTGTCCCCAAGGAGCGTTCCGACAATAGATTGTGGGTTCTGATCATCGGCACGACCCTCGACAGCTTCGACGGCTCCAGCGGCCTGTTCTCGTCGGGAAGATCTTCATTCATCAGCGCGAGGAGTAGACGAGGCTTCAGCGCCACATCGTCCATACCGCTCAAGAGCTTGAAAGCTGCCATTTTCCCTCCCTTTTTGCAGCAGAAAACCGCGCGCAGCTCAGCAACAGAGAAGAGAAACTGCGACAGCTTTTGCGGAAAGGGTTTAAATTTACAGTATTGGGTGGATTGTGGAGCAGGAGTAGGAACCTTGCCTGACAAGCAACCCTATTGTTTGTTGGGGCAAACACGGAAGCCTGTTTAATCTACTGGGCTGATGGACCTTGGTGGGCCGGGCCCGTTTTAATTAATCCATGAAAAGAAGGGTTGACCGGCGGGAGGAGAACCGATCACCGCGACAGTTAAGCTCGCGAATCCTTCTTCAATCCGGCATTCCGTGTTTTTTTCCTCCGGTGACGGTGAACTGACCGCCGTTGATTCCATCTCGATCACTCTGCAGTCTCCAAGATGAAAGGGTCAAGACTGGAGCGAGGCGGCCGGAGTTTCATTGGGACTCGATCCGTTCTGCCGTCATTTCTTCGAAGTCGCCGGACCCCGTCTCTGTTTAGTCCTCTCAGGTAAATCTAGTTGTTTCGAACCTTTTGCCGTAGGGTGAGAGCGAATTGAACATTACCATTGTGATTTTCACGAGAAGAAACGAACTTGAGGTGCATTATTATTAACTACCATTGTGGAGATTCGTAATTGTTTACAGTACTGATTATTGATTGTGTAAATTCGGATGACATATGTGACGAAGAAGATGATCCTTCTTCATTCTTCGTTACAGTTTCTGCAGCATACAGAACAGGCTTTGGAGGAAGCTCCAGGCTTTCCAAGTCGCCTTCAAGCATCTCCACCACTTTGTTCATTGGAGGACGGTTGGCAGGATTGGTCTGGATGCACCACAATCCTACAATCACCATCTTCTTGGCAATGTTGTCTTCCTCTTGCGTGACTTCTCCAACTGCAATTGGAGTCCCGGGCATGGATACCTCGTTGTGAACCCATGAAGGGAAGTAAACGCTGGAATGCTCCGTTGCTGCGTTCAGATTCTTCCATTTACCTGTCATCTCCAGGACCAACATCCCAAAGCTGTAGACATCGGCTTTATAAGACACAGTTCCAATGTTCTTGTAGAACATCTCTGGTGCCATGTACCCTATGGTCCCTCTTGCTGCTGTCAGAGCGGCGATGCTGTGATCACCACCGGGATGGTTCAACTTAGCCAGCCCGAAATCGGATATCTTTGGGTTGAAGGTCTGGTCGAGGAGGATGTTGTGGGGCTTGATATCAAAATGCAGAATCTGCGTTGCGCATCCTGAATGAAGATATTCAATCCCACGGGCTACTCCAAGTGAGATGTGGTACAATTGTTCCAAACTCAAAGAACCTTGGTTGTGGTGAAGGATGTGCTTGTCGAGTGAACCATTCGGCATGAACTCATAGACGAGAGCTCGCTTTGATCCTTCGGAACAATAGCCGATTAGCCTGACCACATTGACGTGGTGGATCCTACCAATGGTAGCAACCTCGCTCATGAAATCTTGACCACCATTTCCTCCTCCTGTCGTGGACGACTTCTTGGTCCCAAGCACTTTGACAGCTGCAAAGCTGCCGCCACGTAGCTTTGCTTTGTAGACGGAGCCAAACCCACCTTCGCCTAGCTTGTCCTTGAATCCTTCGGTGACTTTCTTGATGTCCGAGTAAGAGTACCTGATTGGCATGAGGGTTTGTTTCTGGAGGAACTCTTCAATGTTGGCATATGCTGATTGATGCCTCATTCTCCATTTGTATATCAGAAATGCAATCACAAGAGGGATTCCAATGGCACGGGTGAATGCTAGAACCAGTACCACTGTAGAGTTATGCATATAAATGAGTTTTTATCAGAATCTTGGAGCTGATGTAGGAAGCAACAGATGGGAAGGGGATGTACTGAAATGAAGCAATCAAAGAATAAGAAAGTGGGAGAAGTGTTACCAAGCGCAATCAGCCAACTTCCATAGAGTGCTACAAAAGACAAAGAGAGGCGAAGGAGGAGAATTACAAAGTGCATTTACCAGAAAGTAATACTCAAGTAAAGGAAGGCCTTAGAGATGTCTCACATGTATACATGACAATATAGTCCTGCAGTCCTTCATAAAGAAAAAATATAGGCACTTGAAACATGAGTAGTAGATGAAGAGAGCATCATAATTGTGCAGGGAAGAAAAGAAGAAAATGACAATGAAAGATCAAGGATGATTTTTGGATACTCGAATATGGTGTCATGATGTTTACCATTATTACAGCGATAAAAGCCAAACTTGAGAAGGTAGCAATGGGACGGACGAGGGCAGTGGGGGCACGAGTACTGCTGCCATGAAAGCTCAAACCCGTATTCAAGCTGCTGGTGAATCTCATGAAATGTAACCTCCTTTTTCTTCTTCTTGGTCTTTGGTAGCATAGCCACCATCTCCACTTTGCACGTCTCTGCCAAATCTGATGCAACCATTTGACTCCCATCAAGCGCATAACTTAAAGAGCTCTTCGATCCAATGTTGATGCAAGGAGCTGTTTGCAGATACAGTTGAGAATTGACAGGGTTTTCACAGCTCACCAGAACCAAAGCTTCATTCAAGCTTTCTTCTCCCACCATGAATAACAGAAACTTTACGTATTGGGTGGCGGAGTAGGGGTGAGAAGTTATGCTGATCTCAGACAGAGGGTGACTGGGCAAGGAGGAGCAGTTGCCTTTAACTACACCATCATCCACCACCCGAATCGTCAAGTTCTTATAGTTTATTGCCTGCACATAGCATCTTGCAGATCCCAGATACAGAACCGTTGTATTGCTCTCACATGAGAGGGTATAATTGTGGTCTCCACAGCTCTCGGGATCGGTTTTGAGTTGGAAGGGGGATTTAATGATGGGTATGTTTCCACAGGAGGAAGGTACACAGTCCACCCGGCCATCAGTAGCGTTGCAAGCTTGTAGGAGTAGCAGCAAAATGAATAATGGTGAGATGATAAATCGAACTACATCAGTATGACAGAGGTGGGGAAGCCTTACATGATTGCCTGCATAAACCAATTCAAGAGTGAACTTCGGAGGTCAGATTAACCAAAGTTCGCCACCAAGGAGCTTTAACTCTTTTTAATTGTTAAAAAAGGATGTTGGTGTTTCCCACTCCCTCTGTTAGTGGGACCAGAAAACCAAAGGAGGAATAAAGTATTGTCATGTAATGTGTCACATTTCTCAAACGAGAGTTTACTTTGGGTTGATTTGATCAATGGGGTTTTGGACTCGCTATTGTCAAGGAACCTGTCAGTCACATAATGCATTGTACCATCATGCGGATTGTCATTGTTGGACTTGATATTGTCTCGTGATGCTGAGGTTGAAGAACCTGGTACTGGAATTTCAGAAGCTACGTTAGCTGAGCTGGGAAAGAGATGATCACAGGTGCAGACAAGTCTGCCCATCTTCTGATGGAGTCACAAGCTATAATTCTAATGGCAATATCAGCCATGTTCGTCTCTGGGATCCATCTTGCGTTTGTCCAGTAACCACACCAGCAAGGTTCACTGTAAGCCTTCCCCATCATTTTTTGTGGATATTTTACTCGAATTCCAGTCTTTGAACGGTCAAATTATGGCCACCATGTGAATGTGAAACAGCTGAGGAGGAGAGTGGACACCCTGGAATCTGGGGTCCTGCCCACTTTTTGGAAGTGGAAGTCAGGTGCTGCAGCTAACTTTTTTATTTAATAATAATCACAGAACTTGTCTGTGATCTCGAAATTCTTAATGGAATCTGACCAGGAAAAAGAAAAACATTCTTAATGGATAAAAAGGTTAGGCAGCATTTCTCGTTTTCTGAGTTGGTGTGGGTGAATGTGATGAACTTCTAAACTACAAGCTTGCACTGATTGTATATTACCTCTTCCTCCTTTTCCATTTAGTTTTGATTGTCGCTTTTATTTTGGTGACAAGTCTTGCATTCAAGCCTAGAAACTCCTTTTCATGCTTGCACTTGCGTTACAAGTTAAAACAATGGTTGAAGCTATTTAAAAGAGTTCTTCAAACTTTACCCTAAAAAAAAAGAGTTCTTCAAACTTAAATTTCATGCTTCTTGAACAAATGCTGCTGAACATAATCATCTCAAAATCCTCCATATCCAGTACAGTAGATTTATTACCACTGTTTTCGTTTTTCTTTTAAGTAGCTAGAGCCTAGAAACTCCTTTGAACTGGCAAAGAGAACAGAAAGAAAGAAGATATTGAGATAAACAGGAAGGACAGACCCACACAAATCCGGAAAGGGAATTAGTACATAACATGATGGAAAATAGCACATAATGACCAGTACTAGTGAAAACTCAAGAGGAAACATATTTAAGAATTGCAGTACCATTATTTTGGTAGCATTAGTACTTATTGATTAATGATAACTGATTGTGTATACTCGGATGACACGAATGAAGAAGAAGATCCTTCTTCGTTCGTTATAACAGCTTCTCTTGCATACAAAACAGGTTTCGGAGGCAATTCCAGGCTATCCAAGTTGCCTTCAAGCATCTCCACCACTTTGTTCATTGGAGGGCGATTGGAAGGACTGGTCTGAATGCACCACAATCCTACTATCACCATTTTCTTGGCAATGTCCTCTTCCTCCTCCGTGACTTCTCCCACTACAATAGGAGTCCCTGGCGTAGAGACCTGGTTATGAACCCAGGAGGGGAAGTAAGCAGTTGATTGATCCGTCGCTGCGCTATTCGAGTTCCTTCTTTTCCCGGCCATTTCCAACAGCAGCATCCCGAAGCTGTAGACATCTGCTTTGTTAGAGACGCCTCCAATGTTCTTGTAGAACAATTCTGGTGCCATGTACCCAATGGTCCCTCTTGCTGCAGTCAGAGTCGCGATGTCGTTGTCCCGACCGGCTTGGTTCAGCCTCGCCAGCCCGAAATCGGATATCTTGGGGGTGAAGTTCTCGTCCAGGAGGATGTTGTGTGGCTTGATGTCGAAATGGAGTATCTGCATCTCGCACCCACGGTGCAGATACTCGATCCCGCGTGCCACTCCCAGAGAGATGTGGTACAGTTGCTCGAAGCTCAAACAAGAGGTGACGGTACTCCTTTGATCATCGCCACCACCATCCTTGTGGTGAGATTGAGAGATGTGCTTGTCAAGAGAGCCATTCGCCATGAACTCATAGACCAGAGCTTGCTTTGATCCTTCGGAGCAGTACCCGATCAGGCGGACCACATTGGCGTGGTGAATCCTGCCAATGGTGGCAACCTCATTCATAAAGTCTTGCCCTTTCCCTCCCCTTGCAGCAGCTGCAGATGGCTTGTTGTTGTTGTTGTTGTTGGTGGTCGCAAGCATTTTGACGGCGGCAAAACCGCCACCACGTAGCTTTGCTTTGTAGACGGATCCAAACCCGCCTTGGCCTAGCTTGTCCTTGAACACACCTGTGATTTTCTTGATGTGATAGTAAGAGTACCTTATTGGCACAAGGTTGGTTTGGTTCCGGAGGAACTCTTCGATGCTGGGATATGCTGACCGATGCCTCCTCCGCCATCGATACACCAGAAGTGCAACAACTACAGGGGTGCCAAGTACCAGCATGAGCAGGTGATATAAGGCAACTGTGGAGAAGGAATGTATAATTGTCAGTTTGTCATTGATGGATATAGCTTGGAGCTGATGAATCGTGGAGTGCAACAGATACGGTGGAATCGTTATTGTTTAGTGAAGAAAGTTGGGAAAAGTGTACCTGGCTGAAGGATAATGGCTACAGTGATCACTGAAAAGAAAGGAAAAAGAAAAGGAGAGGATGAAATTACAAAAGCTAAGAGATTCTAATGTGATAATCAATTTAAGAAGGGCGCAAAGGTCCCTGTAACTCACCTGCTGCATCCTCGAAGACGATGTCTTTTTGCTCTTCATTAAAGAAAACAATAAAATGCTCAGGCAATTGAGTGCAAAATGAAGTGGCCAAAAACGCCAATACATGGAGAGAGATATATAAGATTTGTTTTCTTTTTTTTTCATCACCTCTGGCAAATCGAGTTTTTAACCATGTAAAATAATTCCAGGTTAAGATTAAACTATATACCAATGCAGCAAACATACCCATCAACCTAGAATTCATGTTATACGGCTAATATCAATCACATTATGACATACTTTATGCAAAATTCAAGCTCAACAAACAGAATTTTCTTGTTCAAATTGCGTACCAGAATGCCATGTAAGCTCGAACCCATATTCAAGCTGGCGGTGAATTTCTTGAAACGTGACCTTGCTGCTGTAATCGTAGTTACTGGTAATGGGCAACGCAGCTGTCATCTCCACTCTGCACGTCTCTGGCAAATCTGACAACACTAGATAACTACCAACAACTGCATAGCTCGTCGAAGAAGAAGAATTTGGTCCGAAATCGATGCAAGGACGTGTTTCCACACTCACTAGTGGTGTTGTCGTAGTAGAATTGACAACAGGGTTGTCGCAGTTGATCAGAGCCAAGCGTTGAGAAACCCTATAAAAAGAGTCGAAAGGCCTCAATGGGAGCGTAGATTGAGTGGGTAAGGAAGAGCAATTGCCCTCAATCACCCCATCATCCACCAACCGGATTGTGGCGTTGTTGTAGTAGATCGCCTTCACGTAGTACCTGCCGAAGCTGCTGCCGCCATACGAGCGCAGATTCAGCACAGTTGTATTGCTCTCGCATGACAGGCTAAACTCGGGGTTCCCGCAGCTCTCAGGATCGGTTGTGAGCCGGAAAGGGTGCTTTATGATGGGGATTTCACCGCAGGAAGAAGGTTTGCAGTGCTCTTTGGCCCGGCTATCTGCTGTAGCAAGCAGCAGCATGAACAGAGATAGTGTGAGTTGAAGCCCTGCTCTCAACATGGTTGCAAGGTTCTTACGCAAATGGTGTTTGCAGTCAGATGCTCTGTTTCTATCCTGCAAATGCTATGTTTCGACTTCCAAACCACAATGGATGGGGATTTCTTGTGTTCCAAAATCGCCCAACTGGTACGCCGGCTGGGCCCTCATATTGACTGAGCCATCTCAATCAAGACTTGTCTGATAATTACAGTTTTTCAGCTCTCAAGTCGTCGCCCCAGTCTGTAAGTTTTCACCATTTTGACGGGAATCAGGACAAAAAAAAGAACAGGGGATTGCATCTTTGCCGCCCGGATGTAGAAGGAAAGAGACTCTGAGCATTTCTGCGGGCAAGTCAATTAATCGCCGTTGATTCCATTTCAATGACTCTGCTCTCCCCGTCGCACATGATGAAGCGCGGCCAAGGCTCGAGCGAGGCGGCCGGACTTTGCTTCTGACTGCATCAATTCTGCCGTCATTCCTTCGCCGGACCTCTCCCGGTAAATCTCGTTGTTTCGGTTAGGGTGAGATCATATTGAACATTACCATTGTCAATTTTAAAGAGAGGCCATCTTGTAGTACAACTGAAACCAACCCAACCAGAGTTGCAGTTTTATTATTGTTGGTATTACATTAACATTCATCATTGCATTGATCACTGATATTTGATTGTGTAAACTCGGATGACACATATGACGAAGAAGATCCCTCATCATTCGTCCTTACAGTTTCTCCACTATACAGAACTGGTTTGGGAGGCAGCTGCAGGGTTTCCACGTCACCTTCAAGCATCTCCACCACTCTGTTCATTGGAGGACGATGGGCAGGATTGGTCTGAATGCACCACAAACCAACCATCACCATCTTCTTGGCAATATTGTCTTCCTCTTCAGTAACTTCTCCGACTGCAATAGGAGTTCCGGGTGTAGACACCTCGTTATGAACCCAGGAGGGGAAGTAAGCACTTGATTGATCCGTTGCTGCAGTATTCAAGTTCCTCCTCTTCCCGACCATTTCCAACAGCAGCATCCCGAAGCTGTACACATCGGCTTTGTAAGACACACCTCCAATGTTCTTGTAGAACAGTTCCGGTGCCATGTACCCTATGGTCCCTCTTGCTGCAGTCAGAGTTGCAATGTTGTTGTCCCGACCGGCTTGGTTCAGCCTCGCCAGCCCGAAATCGGATACCTTGGGGGTGAAGTTTTCATCCAGGAGGATGTTGTGTGGCTTGATGTCGAAATGGAGTATCTGCATATCACATCCCGAATGGAGATACTCGATCCCGCGACCCACTCCCAGGGAGATGCGATACAGTTGTTCCAAGCTCAAAGAAGGTGTGGTATTGCATTGATCACCACCACCACCACCATCCTTGTGGTGAGAGATGTGCTTGTCGAGAGAGCCATTTGGCATGAACTCATAGACCAGGGCTTGCTTCGGTCCATCGGAACAGTAGCCGATCAAGCGAACTACATTGGCGTGGTGGATCCTGCCAATGGTGGCAACCTCATTCATAAAGTCTTGCCCTTTCCCTCCTGCTGCAGTTGCAGATGGCTTGTTCTTGTTGTTGGTGGCAAGCATTTTGACGGCGGCAGAGCTGCCACTACGTAGCTTTGCTTTATAGACGGAGCCAAACCCGCCTTGGCCTAGCTTGACCTTGAACCCTGCGGTGATTTTCTTGATGTGATAGTAAGAGTACCTTACTGGCATGAGGTGGGTTTGGTTCCGGAGGAACTCTTCGATGCTGTGATATGCTGATCGATGCTTCGTTCTCCATTTATATACCAGAAGTGCAATAACAACCGGGGTGCCAAGTACAAGCAGGATCAGGCGATATAGAATAACTGCAGATAAGGGGAATATACATATCAGTTTGTTATGGGATAGCTTGGAGCCGATAATGAGTGCAACAGATAGGTGGAACCAATTGCCAAGATGAAGAAAGTTAGAAATAGGTTACCTATATCAATGATCCGCAGTACAGAGTAAGCTGAAAAGAAAGAGAAAGAGGAGAATAGGGAGTTAAAAAAAAAAGAGATTAAAATGCCATTAGAGTAGTAGAGGGTACTCACCTGCATTCATGATAGTGTCTTGTTTACCAAAGGCAAGCCTCCAGTTTTTGATGAACTGCGCTGAAATGCTAACTGAAACCAAAGAACAAAGACACGCAGAGGAGAGGAGGAAATCAGTAAATAAGATCCTACCTACTGTGATAAAATCATGGCAGAAGAAGGAAGAGATCTCAGTAACTTCACCTGCACCCAATTGGATAGACCTGATGAGGTTGTCTGACCCTTCATTAAACAGAAAGAAGAAGCAGCAAACACTCAGCTAATTGAGTATGAGAAAATGAAATGGTGTAACAAGAAATACGGTAATGTCTGGGAAGGAAAGCATATTGTACCCCAGCAGTAATTAAACCCGAAAATGATCAGACTATGAATGCTGCAATATTCAGTAGGAACACCATTGCCTGAGACTGTGGTAGGCAACCATGTAAGCTCGAACCCATGTTCAAGCTGCCGATGGATTTCTTGAAATGTGACCTTCTAGTTATAATAGTCAGTATTAATGGGGAAAAGAGTAATCACCTCCACTCTGCAAGACTCTGGCAAATCTGATACACTTGCATCTCTCCCCATAACCACATAGCTGGTGAAAGAAGAAGATGAAGAATTTGTTTCAGAACCGACGCAAGGGCTTGTTTCCACAACCACTAGTGGCGATCTAGTAGTAGTGGTAGTAGAGTGGACAACATGGTTGTCACAATTGATCACAGCCAAGGCTTGAGTTAACGTTTTTCCTCCATAGAGTGTTACTAGATTTCCTTCAGGTAATACGAACCACTGGCTGACATCCTCACCAGTGATCCCATCTGACATAACAATCCGTCGTGAGCTGATAGGATGCGTGGGTAATGAAGGGCAATTGCCGCTAACCACGCCATCGTCCACCAACCGGATTGTGGAGTTGTTGTAGTTGATCGCCTTCACGTAGTACCTGCCGCCGGTGAAGCTCTCATAGAGCACGGTGGTATTGTTCTCGCAGGAAAGGTTGAACTTGGTCTCCCGGCAGCCGCCGGGATCAGTTGTGAGCCGGAAAGGGGACTTGATGATGGGGATTTCGCCGCAGGAAGAAGGTTTACAGTATTGCTCCGTGGCCTGGCTATCGTCTGCAGCAGCAGTTTTTTGGAGGAGAAGCAGAAACAAGAATAGAAATGGTGGGAGTTGAAGCCTTACTCTGGACATGGTTGCAAGGTTCTAAAGCAAAAAGGTGTTTGTGTAAGAGGACTGTTACCCTTTGACAGATATACAAGCCTTATTGTATGGAGGATGATTGAGGAAGAAAATTAGTACAGAACTGTCCTCCAATTCTTTGATGATGTCTCTGTTCAAACTCCATTCTTGAGTTGGATTATTGACCGATTCCACGAATAGCGACGGCAACCGGTGGTCTACCTTTCAACGAGAGCATCCGTGTGTGGAAGGGAAGTTGCATGGAAAAGCTTTTTACATGAATCGAACGAAAAAACAGGGGATTGCATCTTTGCCGCCGGATGTACAAGAAAAGACGCGCGCTTTTCTGCGGGAGGAAACAAATCGCCGGCGGCGAGGATTGAGGGAGGTGAAAATGGGAATTGGGTTTCTGGGAGTGGAGGTGTGCCACAAGGTTTGTGGATTGTAGTGGTTTCCCCTTGCTGAACCGCCATCGCCATTTCCAGAGCTGGAGCAGAGCTGCGAAGAACAGTATGGGTTTTGGTGGATAATTTCCCTTCCAGTCCCGATTGGCCTGAATCGGGCTTCGGCCCATTCAAATGTTGGGCCCAGATGTACTCGCTTCAGAACCGCGAAACCCTTCAAAGTAACAGAGAAACGTGAAAGGGAAGGTCGAGTTCAGTTTCTGCCCTCCGTCTTTATCCCTCCGGCGACGGTGAATCGTTCGCCGTTGATTCCATCTCAATGACTCTCCACTCCCGGTTTGCCGTACAAGATGAAGCGATCAAGGCTACGTCGAGGCGACCGGAAATTCCTTCTGATTCCATCCATTCCGGCGTCATCTCCGGTAAATCTAAATCTAGCTCGGTATTTCATTGATTTGTGTAAATTCGGATGGCAGAAATGACGAAGAAGAACCAACTTCTTCGTTCTTCGTTACAGATTCTCCAGCGTACAGAAATGGTTTGGGAGGCAGCTGCAGAGGCTTGAAAGTTTGGGGTTTGATCCCGGAAATTCTCTTCTCTTCTGTCCTGTTCTGTTATGTGGAACCATAGTTTTCCAACCTGCCCAACAGGTACGTAGACTTGGCCTCAAATTGACCCACCACCAGACTTGTGAATTGTGATGTATACAAGTCTTTGTTGCCAAGTCCGTAAGTTTTGTTTTTCTATTGGAACAGGCGTACAGAAATGATTGATAGAGAATTTTTATGGAAGTGTTAGCATAGTTCATAATACAGTCTTTTATGTGGCTAGAACTCGTTTGAATTTTCAAAAGGAGGAGCAGAAAGAAAGAAGTTTCAGAGAAAAAGACATGAAAGATAGACCCCATACAAATGCAAAAACGTTGTACTTAGAAAGGCAGGGTGCTGGTGAATTTTGTGCACTGCCTAATTTTACAGAAGGAACAGAAACGTACTGTAGAGTAAAAGAAGAAGAAGAAAAGAAATGAAGTTCCAATTGGAAACGTGTCCATGCTACTTGTTTTGGCTCATTTTCATTTTACTACTGCAGGCAGAGGCAAACCATGGAGCAGCAGCAGAAAATGTAACACATGATTCCTGCAGGACCACAGCAAGCTGTGGAAGTGGCTCAGCCGCTGTTGATGTCAGGTTCCCATTCACCATCAGGGGCATGCTATCTTCTGGGTACGAAGGGTTTCCTGGGTTCGAGCTATCTTGCAGTACTGAAACTAACCAGACGCTGCTCCATTTCACCCTTTCCATCAACTTCACCGTTCAGAGAATCGATTACAATTCTCAGCTGATTTATTTGGGAAGCCCAGATGGGTGCCTCCCAAGACAACTCCGACACCTGGATCTCTCTACAACTCCGTTCAAAATAGCGAGCTCGAGCTATACTAGTTTCAGCTTTCTCAACTGTTCCAAGGTCATCATAGGTTCTCCACCGATATCTTGCCTAGGCCCAACAGTCTATGCCTACAGTTCGGGAGCCTCCTTGTATGATGTTGATTTGGTGTCTTGTAAGAAGATGTATGCACTTCCGTGGTCAAACAATGATGAGTACGGTAATATCTTTTTGTTGAGCTGGTCTAATCCAAGATGCAGCAGATGTTACAAGGCTAATGGGGAATGTTGCTTGCTGAAGAAGCAGGCCAGCCACAAACCTGAAGTTGAGTGTTCAGGAGATGCCCATCGCAATAAAGGTATGCACCATCACCATTCTTATCTCAGCTGTATGCGTTGAATCCTGGCTTAAACTGGTTAGGTTGGACATCATTTTGTTATATTCAGCAGCGTATGATGAGCAGTTAGATGTTTAACCTACCTTCATCTCGATATAATATCCTTCAGAGTTCATTTGATGAGCAGCAGACTCCTGACTTTACATTAACTTCTTTACTGAATCTGATGCCTAATGGCAATACCCTCATATTGAGTACTAACAGTTAAGAGTTGACCATAATATGTGTAACCAACTTGTGAAAACTTAATTTGAGTGGAACAGGATTTCATTGAAGGGAAGATTTGTAAGGCATTGAGATAAAACTGGCTTGTTCTAACAATTCCGAGTTATCACTGACATGAACTAATTTTTAGCACCTCTCCAACAACATGATCGTTGTTCCATTAATGTTCTTTGCCTCTTTTTTACAGTTTTGTCTTTGAAGAAGGTACTCATTCCTGGAGTGACTCTGGGTGCAATCTCCATTGTGGCATTGCTCATTGCGCTCTACCATGCTTACAGGTTTGATCGTCAAGAGAAGGAGTATAGGTTAAAGATGGAGGAGTTTTTGGATGATTACAAGGCTCTCAAGCCTACGCGATTCTCTTATGCTGACATCAAAAGAATAACCAACCAGTTCAATGACGAATTGGGTCGAGGAGCTCATGGGACAGTATTCAAAGGCAAACTGTCTAGTGAAATCCAAGTAGCTGTCAAGGTCCTGGACAACAACGTCATCACCACCAAAGGAAATGAACAGGACTTTGTGAATGAAGTGGGAGCAATGGCTGGAATCCACCATGTTAATGTGCTTAGATTGGTTGGATTCTGCGCAGATGGGTTCAGAAGAGCTCTGGTATATGAGTACTTACCAAATGATTCACTCCAGAAGTACATCTCTTCCCAGGGAAACGAACAACATTCCAGCCTTGGGTGGAAGAAACTCCAAGAGATCGCCATTGGAATAGCCAAAGGGATAGAGTATCTTCACCAAGGATGTCACCAGAGAATCCTGCATTTCGACATCAAGCCTCACAACATTCTCCTCGACCAAGACTTCAACCCAAAGATCTCTGATTTCGGTCTAGCCAAGCTGTGTGCAAAGGACCAAAGTGCCATATCCATGACGGCAGCCAGAGGGACCATTGGCTACATTGCTCCAGAAGTGTTCTCAAGGAATTTTGGGAGTGTATCATACAAGGCTGATGTGTACAGCTTCGGGATGTTGCTGTTGGAAATTGTCGGAGGAAGGAAAAATGTCGATGTCACTTCAGCAGATGGTGTCAATCAGATATACTTCCCGGAGTGGATATATAGCCTTTTCAGCGAATCCGGGGAAGATGTAAGGTTTGATGTTGAGGAGGTGGAGGAGGAGGAAAAAGAATACGGCAAGATTAGGAAGAAGTTGGCTATAGTGGGTCTCTGGTGCATTCAGTGGAACCCAGTAGATCGACCTCCAATGAAGCTTGTGGTGCAAATGCTGGAAGGGGAAGGTGACAATTTAACACCACCTCCTAATCCTGTTAGCTCCAATATTGGTGGTGTGGCAAGAATGGGAAAGCCGCGACCACTCCAAGAGTTAGAGATCATACCAGAAACGGAATAAAAATACTTCCCAAACTGGTGATTTACCGTATACGTGTGTAGTAAGAGTGTGTGTTGCCAATACACATGCGAGGTTAGATTCTTTGGGGCTCCTATATTCCGCTAGTGCTTGCCTGCAAATGCTTTCATCTCTTGCAAGGCTGTTTTTACTGTGTTCCTGTTGGAGTTAAGTCTCTTGTGAGTTTGTGATCCGGTTGATTTGGTCTTTGTATTGATTGGGCTTCTGGGGAAGTCGTAGAAAATGTATCTTGACCATTTCTTGGGGACAAAAGCTTTCTAGAACTTGACTCATGAAGTCTGACATGGGTTGTCAATATAATACTCGTGGACAGTTTGAACAAAAGAAAATACCTGGCCAGAAACAAGCAGAGCAAAGTCAGTGGTTAGTTACCTAGTACCCAATTCAATTTCCCCAACAACCTTTTCTCAATAAGTAACAGGTCTCCTTCCTAAGCCATATCAATCATGTCAGCAGTATCTCTCTTCTTGCTGCTACTCCTCCAAAAAACTTGCCATGCTGCTGCAGCAGATGGCCAGGTCCCGGACCACTACTGTGAACCTTCTTCCTGCGGGGAAATCCCCATCATCAAGCCCCCTTTCCGGCTCACAACCGATCCCGAGAGTTGCAGTAACCTCAACCTTAGCCTGTCATGTGAGAGCAATGCCACCGTGTTGTACAGGGGATCAAGAAGGTACTACGTGAAGGCGATCAACTACAACAACTTCACAATCCGGTTGGTGGCCGATGGCGTGGTTAAAGGAAACTGCTCTTCCTTACCCGCTCAACCTATGTCCCCATGGGACTTCTCTGTCTCAGTAGGTGGTCTATCTTACCATGGACCAGAACACAAGCTTTTAACTCAAGGCTTGACTCTGATCAGCTGTGACAACCCTGTTGTCCATTCTTCTACTACTACACCACCACCACCACTAGTGCAAGTGGAAACAAGTCCTTGCATCCAATTTGGACCAAACTCTGCTTCTTCTTCGACCAGCTATGCTGTTATTGGGTGGGGTGCAGAGTTATCAGATTTGCCAGACTCGTGCCGGGTGGAGATGACTGCTCTGTTGCCCATTGCCAGTGATTACTATTACAACAACAATAACGTCACATTTGAAGGAATTCATCGACAGCTTGAATACGGGTTCGAGGTTTCATGGTTGCCTCCTCCCACTGAGTCGTACACTTACAGATGCCCCTATCGTCTGCCCATTTTTGGGTTTTATTACTGCAAACGTACAACAAAACTTCACGATCTTACTGTTAATGATATATTTCTCTACACATTTTTCAGTTTTCCTATTTCATTTTACTCTAATTTAGCTGAGTCTGTGCCTTTTCTTTTTGTTTACTGAAGGGGGGCCGAGTTGGATCCATGATCCAGGTGAGTTACAGAAATCTATTGCTTCTTCTGCAAATACTTACCCAAGTAACTGAGTGTTTGTTCTTTATTCTTGTTTAATGCAGGGAAACCGAACACTATCATCTCGAATGCAGGTTAGTTACAGACATCCCTCCTTCTAGACTATCATCTTTCTCTAATTTCCTCTTTTCTTTTATATTTCTTTCTTTTCAGTGATGAGTGCAAGCTGGATCATTAGGATTGGTAAACCTTTTCTAACTTTCATCATCTTAACTATATGGTTCCATCTTATCCGCTGCACCCCATCACCATCAGGTCCTGAAGCTATCTGGTAATGAACTGATAATCATATATCCTTTGCAGTGATTCTAAGTCGCCTGTTATTGCTAGTACTTGGCACCCCTGTCGTAGTTGCACTTCTGATATGTAAATGGCGGAGGAGGCATCGATCAATATATCACAGTATCGAAGAATTCCTGCAGAACCAAACCCACATCATGCCAATCAGGTACTCTTACTATCACATCAAGAAAATGACCAGTGGGTTGAAGGACAAGCTAGGCCAAGGAGGGTTTGGCTCCGTCTACAAAGCAAAGCTACGCGGTGGCAGCATTGCAGCCGTCAAATTACTAGATACCAACAACAAGAAGCCATCCACAACCGCAGCAGGACGAAGAGGACAAGACTTCATGAATGAAGTGGCCACCATTGGCAGGATTCACCATGCCAATGTTGTCCGCATGATCGGCTACTGCTCCGAAGGATCAAAGCAAGCTCTGGTCTACGAGTTCATGCCGAATGGCTCTCTCGACAAGCACATCTCTCACCAAAATGGCGGTGGTGGTGATCAAAGCAGCAGCACCACCCCTAGTTTGAGCTTGGAACAACTGTACCGCATCTCTCTGGGGGTAGCACGCGGGATCGAGTATCTGCACCGTGGTTGTGTGATGCAGATACTCCATTTCGACATCAAGCCACACAACATCCTCCTGGACGAAGACTTCACCCCCAAGGTATCCGATTTCGGGCTGGCGAGACTGAACCAAGCCGGTCGGGACAATGACATTGCGACTCTGACTGCAGCAAGAGGGACTATAGGGTACATGGCACCCGAACTTTTCTACAAGAACATTGGAGGTGTCTCTTACAAAGCCGACGTCTACAGCTTCGGGATGCTGTTGCTGGAAATGGTTGGGAAGAGGGGGCACTTGATTGCCGCGGAGACGGATCAATCGTCTGCTTACTTCCCCTCCTGGGTTCATAACCAGGTGTCTACGGTTGGGACCCGTATTGCAGTTGGAGAAGTCACAGAAGAGGAAGACAACATTGCCAAGAAGATGGTGATGGTTGGATTGTGGTGTATACAGATGAAACCTGACGAGCGTCCCCCGATGAACAAAGTGTTGGAGATGCTTGAAGGCGATTTGGACAGCCTGCCAGTGTCTCCCAAACCTCTTCTGTATCCTAGAGGAGAAGCTGCAAGGAAGAGTCAAGAAGGGTCATCGTTTGTGTCATCATCCGAGTACACAAAATCTGTTATCAGCACTCAGTGTGATGGTTAATAACAATCCAAATAATAAAACTAGCCAGTAGTGATTTCATCTTTTAAATTTTTTCTTATCAAACTAGATGAGCATAATCCGTTCATTCCTTACTAAGCTATAGCGTATTCGATGTCATGTATGTCGAAAATTCTTATTTTTCTTCTTAATTTAACTCATGGATCTCTCATTATTTTCGTTTTTCAGATCCAATTACTAACTTATGTACAAAATTTAAATTCAGGGACTGAAAATAAATCTAATACCATGTACTGGTTTGTTTAAAATACATTGTACATGAACAAATTTGTTAGAAATTATAGTTTAGGGCAGTGCTGTCAAAGCCGAACCGAGCCGGCCGGTCGGACCGCCAAAGCCGCCACCCGGCCGTAAAACCGGCTCGAATCAGCTATTTAACCGCCACGGTTTTATACAGCGGCCGGCGAGCGGCCGAAGCGGTTAACCGCTCGAGCCGCTCAAGCCGGTCGCGCGGTTTGGCCGTTTGGTTTACGCTAAAAAAAAAGAAAAAAAAAAAAAGAAAAGGCCAATCGTGGAATGGGGCAGCCAAACAAAACCCTAACTTTCATTTTATTTCTTCATCTTCGACCTAGAAGTAGAACAGACGACAGAGGGAGAGAGGCGCCACCCTGCCGCCGTCAACCATCGCCCCAGCGCTTCCGTCCCGTCGCCGCAAGCAGCGCGCCATCCGACAACGGGGTAATTCATCTCCCTTCTTCTTCTTCTTCACTCTTTCCGTTGGTTCTAGGGATTTCTATGTTAGCATTTCTCCAGTGTGGGTATTATTGGGTTGTCGGTGGAGATTGGTTTACTGGGTATTTGATTAGTGGTGGATCTAGTAGTCGTTTGTCTGGGGACCGGTTATTGTAACAACACCCATTGTGTTGTTATTGTAACAACACTAGTCCCCAACCAATAGGAAGCTAGGATTGTGATGACTTTTTATTAAATGAGTTGACCTAGTGTAAAATCAAAGCAGGGGTATAATTGTCATTAAGAAAAATCTATTTAAATAAAAAAAATAAAAAATAAAAAATAAAAAAATAAAAAATAAAATTTTTTTTTTTATTTTCTGTCCAAAAATTTGGTCGTCGGAATTCTGCCACCGGTCGCCGGAAAATGGTCGCCGGTCACCGGAATATACTTTTTGTCCCCGGAATATGCTATTTTGTGGCCGGAATATGCTTACCGGAGTCGGAATATGCTTACCGGCGTCGGAATATGCTTACCGGCGTCGGAATCTAGTCACCGGGGCCGGAATATGCCTATCGGCGTCGGAATCTGCTCACTGACGGTCACCGGAGTTCGGTCAACGAACTTCGTTGACCGGTCAACGGTCTTCGTTGACCGGTCAATGGTCAACGACCACCGGATGTTATGGTCTGCATTGTGAGATTTATGGTTTGGTTTCTCATATTTTTTTATGCCTTTTATGGTTTGTTTTATTGTGTTTATGGTTTGCATTGAGAAGTTTCTGGTTTGTTTTCAAAAACTTTGTGGTTTGCATTGTGAGGTTTCTGGTTTGTTTTAATATATTTGTGGTTTGCATTAGGACGTTTATGGCTTGCTTTTTTGGTTTGCGTTAACGTGTTTGTGGTTTGCATTAGGAGGTTTCAGGTGTGCTTTCGCAAATGTTGTGGTTTGCTTTGTGAGGTTTGTGGTTTGTTTTAGGAGATTTGTGGTATGCATTAGGAGGTTTCTGTTTTGCATTACGAAGTTTCTGGTGTGCTTTCGAAACTTTTGTGGTTTGGTTTGCGAGGTTTCTGGTTTGTTTTGATATATTTGTGGTGTACATTAGGACGTTTTTGGTTTGTTTTACCGTGTTTGTGGTTTGTATTAGGGGGTTTCTGGTGTGCTTTAGAAATATTTCTGGTTTGTTTTACCGTGTTTCTGGTATGTTTTAGACAATTTATAGTATGCATTAGGAGGTTTCTAGTATTCTTTCGAGATAATTGTAGTATGTTTTGTGAGGTTTGTTATTCTATCCGACGTTCCTACTAGATGAATGGAATTATTATTTACAGGACAAATATTATTTACAGGACATAATGTCCCAACAAATTGACATTTGAGGGATGAGTTTGATAATAGGTATGGAATTCGAGCACCAAAGGTGCAATTTGATCATATAGGAAAGAGCGAGGGAATAGGGGAGGGAGAAAGAGGACAAAAGTGGAAGACTGGAAGAGGTGTTTAAGTTGGGGATTAAAAGCGACGCATTCTTCTTCTTCTTTCACTGAGCAGCCGCCGCGGTGGCGGAGATCTAAGGATTTTTCCACCGATTTCGACCGGTTCGTGAAGCCCAGATGCAAAAAGGGAACGACATCGGAGAGATTGAAGGTCCATTGCCTGTTTGGCGAATTGCGGGACCCGATTTTCCCCAACTGCTTGGTCGGCGGCCGCACGTAGACCGCTGGCGATTCGCCTCAGATCTGGCGGCGGGAAATTGAGCACCGCCATGCTCCAGCACAGGGCGAATACCAGGACGGCTTCCTCGGCGTTGTCGAACGTGCTCAGTCACACCCGGTCGTCGTTCCTCGTGGAGTCCCTGATCTCTGCCGCGTACTTCCCCCACGGCCTCTTCCTCACCCCTTAACTGCAGGCCTCAATGCAAGCTGAACGATGCTGAATCCACGTTGCTTCAATCGCATCGCGACTCCGATCTAAAATTTCAGATCTTGCTCTGTCGCCAAAATCTCCATTAGTGGCTTCAAGAAGGTGGAGGAGGGAGGCTAGGAGATTTGAGATGATATGACGGTGGAGGCCTAAAAGCAGATTGAATGGCTTATGGGATCCATGCTACCGTCGGAGCCGATCTTGTCGGTGGCGGAGGAGAGAGTACGGGAGAGAAGCAGCCGACGGGGATACGGGAGGAGAAGGAGATCGAGAGACGGAGATAGGGAAGCTGGGGATTGCAAATTTATTTATTAATTTTAATTTGTTATATTTTTGTAGTTTACCCTTTTTACCCCAGTTGTTACGATAACAACACCAAGGGTGTTGTTATTGTATCCGGGCCCGTTTGTCTGATCTTGACGTGATTAGCGTAGATTTTGAGATTTGCTGATAGGGGCAGCTAGTTTGCTTACGAAATGGACTACCGGTTCTCAAACGGTTTTTAAACGGTCTAATGTCGGCTGGACCACTAATGACCGAGCCGTTCACGTTACCGGGTCATACTCCGGCTCGACTTTGACTGCATTGGTTTAGGGGTTAAAGGTGTTATTAGCCCAACACAGAAAGAATTTAAGATGGAATCCATCAGCCAAAAGAACCGCGCCCCCGCGCCCTGTCCATTACCATTTACCAGAAAGCGAAACAAGCAGCGGCGGCGGCGGAGCTCCGATTTCTTTCATCTGCTCGTCAAACGCCGGAAAGCAATCGTGGATTCATCCAATTGAGATCCTTCCTCCATAGAGAAACTAAAAAAGCCTTCCTATCTTCTCCGCTAGAGCGTTTGCTTGTGTAGGCTCAGTTCAGCTCTCTGATAAACTTTCTCTCAACATGGACGCGGAACACGAAGGTTTGTTCAGGTGGCTGATTACTTTGTTTTCTTCAGTTGCATTCTCCATTTGTTGAAAAAGACAAGCTTTTTTCTGCTTCTGGCAGTCAAGGATTCGGAAGATGAGACTAATGAGGAAGAGGAGCAGCAAGAAATGGGGAAGAAAATGGTTGCTAAAGGGCGCAAAAAAGATGCATTGGAAAGATTCAAGCAAAAGGTTAGTGTTTCCCCTTTCACCTACTCGATATTGTATAGTCTATAGAACGATTTAGTCCGCGCGCGGTGTAGCCGTGGGTATTGATTCTAGTATATCTCCACAATCAACTACTTCATGAAATCCTAGTACACCAAATGCCAAACACAATACACTTCTTCTAACTATTACCCGACTCAAACATACTTTTATTCCGTCTCTGGTATGATCTCCAAATCCTGGAGCGGCCGCGGCTTTCCCATGACTGACATTCTTGCCACACCACCAGTATTAGAGCTAACAGGATTAGGTGGTGGTGCTAAATTGTCATCTTTCCCTTCCAGCATTTGTACCACAAGCTTCATTGGAGGTCGATCAACTGGGTTCCATTGAATGCACCACAGACCCACTATAGCCAACTTCTTCTTGATCATGCCATCTTCTTCCTCTTCTTCATCCTCTTCAACATCAAACCTTACATCATCTCCCGATTCTCGGAAAAGGCTATATATCCACTCCGGAAAGTATATATGATCGACCTCATCTGCTGCAGTGACATCAACATTTTTCCTTCCTCCGACCATTTCCAGCAACAACATTCCGAAACTGTATACATCAGCCTTGTATGACACACTCCCAAAGTTCCTCGAGAACATTTCTGGAGCAATGTAGCCAATGGTTCCTCTGGCTGCAGTCATGGATATGGCACTTTGGTCCTTTGCACACAGCTTGGCCAGGCCGAAATCGGAGATCTTTGGGTTGAAGTCTTGGTCGAGGAGGATGTTGTGGGGCTTGATGTCGAAATGGAGGATCCTCTGCTGACAACCCTGGTGAAGATACTCGATCCCTTTGGCTATTCCAATAGCGATTTCTTGGAGCTTCTTCCACCCAAGGCTGGAATCTTGTTGGGTTCCGTTGTAAGAGATGTACTTATGGAGTGAATCGTTTGGTAAGTACTCATAAACCAGAGCTCTTCTGAACCCATCTGCGCAGAATCCAACCAATCTAAGCACATTAACATGGTGGATTCCGGCCAATGCTCCCACTTCGTTCACAAAATCCTCCTCATTTCCTTTGGTTGTGGTGAAGTTGTTGTCCAGGACCTTGACAGCTACTTGGATTTCACTTGACAGTTTGCCTTTGAACACTATTCCATGAGCTCCTCGACCCAATTCATCGTTGAACTGGTCTGTTATTCTTTTGATGTCAGCATAAGAGAAACGAGTAGGCTTGAGAGCCTTGTAATCATCCAAGAACACTTCCATCTTTAGCCTGTGCTCTTTTTCTTGGCGATCAAACTTGTAAGCA